TACTACTATATACTACTACTATATACTACTACTATATACTACTACTACTACTACGACTACTACGACTACTACTGCTGCTGCTACTACTACCACTACCACTACTACAACTACATAAAACTGCTACTACTACTGACTACTGACTGCTGCTGCTGCTACTACTGCTGCTGCCGCGGCGGCTGCTGCTGCTGCTGCTACTACTACTACTACTACTATAACTATACTACTACTACGACTACGACTACGACTACGACTACCACCATCTACTACTATCTACTGCTGCTACTACTACGTATTTTGATGCCCTTGGGTTGCCATTCTCAGAGAATCATCAGCTCCAGTGCGATGGTTGTCCAAGGAGAATGGAGAGATTCTGCACATTGGCGAGAGCCCCAGCCCCTTGTTGGGGACCTACTACGAAGCCAGATGGTTTTATGTGCCAGGACAGGAACCAAACTTGTTTCGGGACATGAGTTGCATCGCACCCCCTACACTGCAAACTACAGTGAACCCCGACAGCGAGCTGTGATGTTTGCTGTAGGACAAAGTGGGCCACTTGGCAAGCAATTGGGAGAGAGGGCTTAGGGTGGCTGCAGGTTTGTCGTAGATGTACCGAGGACATTATTTTGTCTCTGACATGACAGATGTTTGCATTTGGTTGATGTACCTTCCATTGCTGGGGATTTACCAGTTCAGTTTTCGATTCGTCAAGCTCAGGACTTGAAACATGAGACGAAGGGCAAACCTACAGGCAGCCTACAGCGAAGCATCTCCATGGAACCAATGAAACCAATTCCTCTCAGACTTCTCAAAAGGCATTGGCTTCGGCATCTGCGGCATCGTCCCCTTACACCAGAAGAAACAGTCGGTGGCGGGCAACAAGTCACTACGTGGATTCGATTCGTTCCAGCTGGACGAACGGACGTGGTCTTTGAGCTCCAAGCCGCAGGCCGCGAGGTTCGACGAGCTTCGTCAAGGTTCGACGAGGTTCGAGACGGTTCGGGACGGTTCAGGACACCCGTCTCGGGACGCAGCGAAATTGGAAGAGAAGGTGTCGACCCTCAAAGAGCTCGAAGGGTTTCGTGGATCAGCACCGGCCGTGTCTCAGGCCTTCGGAGGTGAAGAGATGTGAAGAGCGCTTTGATGACAAGCTTTCGATCCTGATCTCTTGCGCAGCGTGTCTGTGTGATGATGCACTTGCTTGAGCACTCACTGGTTCTCAGCATTTTTCGGCTAAGAAAAGCAAAAGGTGGCGATACACTGACTTGTTGATACACTTGACCATAATACTTGACCACAGATATTATTTTCGGGTCCGCTTGGACGGAGAGTACTTATTGCAGCAAGCGGAGCACTCTGTCAGCCTGTGAGCCTTTGGCTCGAGAATAAGGAATAGAAAAGCATCACTCATATCATCGAGGATCTCTGAGAGCCAGAAACACCCTTCATCACTTTTCGTTCTCTTGTTCACCCGACCCTCACGGAGAAAGTGACAGATCCCTTTTCGTTGGTTTACCGAGGTAGACGGTAGGAGGACCGTGTGACCATGTCTCTCCAAATTGGGAGACACCACATCACGATAGACACCTTGAAGCCCGTGTTTTGGGCCGGGCCAACTGTATTTTGTGGTCCAAGATCCAACCAGGTGGTGTTTCACAGCGTTCCCACAAACGGCTGTGGACAGCCGCATCAGACCCCCGTTTTGGGACTCCTACAGGACCGGGTGAACGGCCCGGCGCGGACTGGCGCGGACCGGCTGCGATTTCAGAGCTCGCTCGAGTTGAACTCGAATGGCGAGCATACGGCCCATGATGCTGGATGACCTTCTCCACTTCAATGCAAGACACTCAGCAGACCGAAGTGGAGACTGAGCAGACCACTTCGGTTTCTGCTTCGTTTCGCTCTGCACAGGAGCAGACCAAGACCGGGGGTGCCGAATTGCTTTGTCACAGCGTGCCGAATCGACTGATTGAGGCTGTAAATTTGGATGTCTTCACAGAGACCTTCAACATGAACTTCTATTTCAACTACCTAACCCGATGGCCAGAATGCTGCGCTGCACCTGGGTGTTGATGGTTGTGGTCCGTGATTGCTTGTTTGGCCTTGGTAAAGTTGTTTCTCATCACAAGTAGTAGTCATACTGTCATGCTATGTCATACTTGGGAAGTCGTAGTTTCGCATTGCCAAGAGAGCGTAGAACCTTATGTTATTTTGCTCAGAGTTCAACACCCTCAAACAGAAGCTCTCTAATAGGAGGGCTTCCAAGGTCTCAGAACTGTTTTTTGCCAAATCCCATGGCTAGCTGCGACTGCTATGCACGCACAAAAAAGCGTCTCTGAGGTGGCGGAAGCAGATGGGTCCATCGCTGGATATATCATTGGAAAAGTGGAAGGAGCTGGCGCCAAGTGCCCTGTCAGTGAGTTGTGGCAGTAGCGTGTAGTGTATTCTTATGTGTTGGGGTCACACATAGCGCACAAGGTTTGAGATGATCCAGATGTTCTTGATTCTTGAAGATGTTGAGCACTGTTGTGAGCATGCAGTTGGAACACGTGTCATAGATGCCTGTTGTTTTTCATGTTGTGCCGTCTTTACTCCTTAACTAACATGTTTTTTTCTCTCTGCATATGCCAAGTCGTTTGATCGGGCTACAGTTTAAGGGGAGTTCGGTGTGGGGTGGGGTGGTTTCGTTCGTGTGAGTAGTAGAAGACGATGTTGATGAATGGTCGATGCGTCGAGATAATATTTTGGGGGGGTTGTTGCGGGCATTAGTAGACACCGATGACGCTGGATGACCAAAACACATGGTGGCCACACACTGCTGAATCCCATGCTACGCCAAAGGTGCTTTCAGTGGATGTGGTGCCAAAATGTGCCAAATGTGTTTGGTATAAAATGCAATAGATTTCTAAGAGGGTTCGGAAGCTCTTGGCTTCTCCCCAATCAGGAGTCGTGCTCACTCGCAAAACTATCAACAAAAAAAGGGCGAGTGCGCCATTAGTTTCGGGCAGGTTACACAAAACCCATACAAAACCCTTGAGCTCTTGAACTGCAGTTCTTTTGGGTTTCGTATCTCTTTCCTTTTTGTCACACCACTGTAGCATACTGAACTATTTGTGCCTAGTTCTACCAGCGAATGCTGTGAGAACCACCACGGCCACCACGGCATCCGGTCCCAGTTGGCACGGCCACGTCTCGGCCATCTCCGTCGCGCCGGAGTTCCGGCGGACGGGCGTGGCCAATCGGCTCATGGAGTACTTGGAGGAGGCCGACGGGTTCTTTCTGAGTGTTTTGTGGCCGTCCAAACGGTGCAAGATCTGAAAGGGAAGGCTGGGTTACGACGTCGTGTTGCTTAAAACTGGACTGTCTATGGAGTCTACTACTACTACTACTACTACTACTACTGCCATTGCTACTGCTACTGCTACTGCTACTCCTACTCCTACTACTACTACTACTACTACTACTACTACTGGTAGTAATCAAAGAAACATGAAGAACCTTACAGACTGACAGGTCAGCGAGGAGATGCACGATTGCTACTTTGTGGATTTGTTTGTGCGCCCGACCAACACAGCAGCCATCAAGTTTTACGAAGGCTTGGGCTACGTGATTTACCGCCACTCAGATCAACAGGCCCCCTTTTTTGCACACATATTCGTGAGAGGGAAATTGAACAGACATGTCGATGCAAGGAGACGGTGGTCCGGAAAACAGGCGTAGGCGAAACGGCGAAACAACATCCACAGGCGAAACAACCTGACCAATCGAGGGAAGCTTGGCAGCTGAGCAGGAAAACACAGTAAACTCAGTAAATAATAAGCTCAGTAAACAACTCTGAGCTTGGAGCAGTGAAGTTTTCCTAAAAATCTAGTAACTAGTTATTTTTGGTGTGTGTGTGTGTTTTTTGATGAAGGGGGGAGGCGGGGAAGTCGAGGTGGGGTAGCTAGTAGCTGGGTAGCTAGTAGCTCAAGTTGCCACTACCTTGGACGCAGGATAGTTCGGGCTTCTTCAAGGAAGCTCGCACTAATGATTTGGTTCCTAGATTTTAAGGAAGACTTAAGGTATAGTAATGCATTCCTGGAAGAAGCGTGAGCTATCCTGCGTCCTAAGTAGTAGCTACTTAAGCTACTAGCTACCTTGCTTCCACCAGCCCCTTTTAAAAACAAATAGCACACACAAATCTCTCTGGGAAAGAACTGCTATGGGAACTGCTTTGAAACACCACCCCTACGGCCCGGGGGTGTGCTTCTTGTGACGCCGGAGCCGGCGATGTGATTTGCCGAGCAAAACGACTCGACCAAAGACATTGAAGATTTTGAGCGGTTGACTTGTATTAGATAGTATTGGCATGTATTGGCTATTCTGAGTGTGTTGTTTGGCTTGCTCTCTCTGATTGGGGGAATTTGGTGTAAGCATCCTGCCCCATCCTCGCTTCCCAACTGCCAAAACCAAAAAATGTTAACACCTGAACAGGCCATACCCCCCAGAATCCAAAGTGAGAATCAATGTGAACCAGTATCAGTCTAGTTTTTGTGAAAACATGTTAAAACATGTTCAGCCTTGTGAATAGCCGTGTGGCTGGGGCTGGGAAGATCTGGGAAGAAGCAACGCATTGGGGAAACAGTCTGTGTGCTGTCCGATTTGTGGCAGTTCTTTGAGGTACTGTGACTGGGTACTATTCTGGAGATGAGGATGCCTATGATATGCGCAAGCCTCTTCGTCGAGTGCTTTGGTTGTAGAATCCGGGAAGACACAACGTGTTGCTTCCGTTTTGGCGACTTTCCGCCCAGGACGACCAAAGGAAATCAGCTGCTTGGCTACTGGTTTGATGGAAGAATTGAAGCCCCAGTTTGGCAGTCTGACTGCCACACCCGAAACTGGCAAAACGTTAGAAAGAACGGAGGTAATTACAACAAACGTATCAGTTTGCATGGCTTTCATTCTTGCAGACAGAATGTTGTTCGTTTGGACATCACGAAAGGTGCCTCCGACTTGACTTGACTTGAGGTTGAGAATGCGGGCTATCGAATATCGCCTGAGCAGCTGCATGCTTCCGCTTAGGGCAAAAGTGAGAAAGCTCGTCATTGCAAATGTGAGCGCATTTCTTGAAGGCTCATCCGTGGACGGTGTCAAGGTCTTTTCTTGGCTCGCTTTCTTCAGAGGTATTGGGCTCAATACATCTATGAAGCCATTCATGACATGTCATGACCTTTGAGTTGAGACTTTGTTTCTATTTAACTGGCCCTGTGAACACCTGGTTGACAAATATATATATATATATATATGGCGATTGTGAGATGGTATGTGCGTGTGTTGCGATTGATGCTTTGCTGGTTCGGTGATCATTGATCAGCTCATGGCATGGAGACAGTGCCCATTGGCAAAGAGACCAAAGAGACTCTGGCCAGATCGCCTCGGAGCCGCAGGAAGGACTTGGATGCGATCGTGTTTTCCCAAAAGGTGATTGAACTTTCAGCGTCGTAGAAAGGAGGTTGTCAACATCTGAAATCAAAGTGGTGAAGCCTTATGAGGCCTTCCTTTCTTCAGCGTCTTTGCTGGTTGCTTTCAGCGTCTGAGTCTGAGGCCTTCCTTTCAGAGATTCTCTCGCTTCAACCGGGATGCCTCGGCCTCTTGGCGAACTCACCCGGATGCCTCCACCGTGGCGGGCGGACTGCACTGGCCGAGGCTTGGATCGCAGTAGCAGATGTGGTGCTTTGGGCTGCTGCACAGCACGCATCTCAACAAGGCACCGGGTGACCGCGCGGCCCGATGGCACATGTCAAATCGCTAAGGCTGTTTGGTGTTCCAAGTGGTCTATTATATAATTCTATATTTATATGCCCTGTCCCATTACCTGTAACAGTCGGTAAACAAGTATCAGTAAATTTTGTCTTCATGCCATGGTGAGGAGCATGTTGCCACGGTCGTGAGTTTTGTGGTTCTCGACTTTGTTTGTGGGTCCTCGGGTTGTGTGCTGTCATTGTGGGTGTGTGTAGTTTGTGGTTGTCTTTGTGGCTGTGTGTTTGTGGTTGTGTGTTTGTAATTATGTGTTTGTGTTTGTGGATGTGTATTCTTGGTTGTGTTTGTGTTTGCGGTTGTGTGTTTGTGTTGTGGTTGTGTGGTTGTGTTTGTAATCGTGTGTTTGTGATCGTGCTTGTGTGCTTGTGTTTGTGGCTGTGTGTTTGTGATTGTGGTTGTGTGCTTGTGTTTGTGTGTTTGTGGATGTGATTGGGGTTGTGTTTGTGGTTGTGTTTGTGATTGTGCTTGTGGTTGTATAATTGTGATTGTGTTTGTGGTTGTGTTTGTGATTGTGTGTTTGTGTTTGTGGTTGTGTGCTGATTGAGGTCCGGCAGGGAACACTGCCAGCCGGACCTCGTGGTTGAGGTCCGGCGGGGAACACTGCCAGCCAGAGCTCGTGGTTGAGGTTCGGCGGGGGTCCACCTTACTGGTAATCGGATAGACCTATATTATACTTATATTACACTGTATGCTTTAAAAATAAGAAAATACACATCCATACATATACATGTTGTACATATGTATAGGCTTTTATGGTAGCGCGGAGTGATTCAAGATGAGAGTCAGTCTTACACAAGTGTGGCCCCAACCAAAAGCCCGACAACCTATTACAGTTTCGACTTCGGGCCTTCGGGTGACTTGGCATGTCTCGAAGGAGGATCTGCGATCTCTTGCTGGAGCTGTGGCTGCTCATCTGGTGAAGCAACTTTGATGGACTTAGCAAGGAGGGCGCTCTTTTGAAAAGTTGCATTTGGCATTGGTGGCTTTTGGCTTTGGTGGCTGTTTCTGTGGAATTGACTTCGGTGGCTTCTGCGGTTTTTGCTTTTGTTGGCTTGCGTGGCTTTGGGCTGGCATTTGGTTTTTGATGGCTTGGTTTTGGGCGATCTCGTGGATTTTGTTTGGCTTTGATTGTTATGGGTTTTGACAACATTGTGTGTCGGCATTTGGTACAGTTTTGTTGGTGGCTTGGCACTTGGTTTGCTCTTGGGGGAAGCGCTCTGCCCTCCCCCAACCCCCTTCGGTTCTTTTCAGCCGAACTTCCCCTCCTCAGGGGACTGCACTGCTGGGAACCTTCCTAGTCCCCGATAAGGACCGACATAACAAAACCAAAAAAACACACACATATTTCAAACAAAAACAGAAAGGAACAAATAGCCACTACCTGTCCAACATTCACATTAGTCTATCGCTGGTCCATTTATGTAGTCTAGCCAGCAGGCAACGTAGGATTGGACACACTACGCTTTGGTTTCTTCCCTTCTCGCTACATCGCCGGTCGTTCGACCAGGAATTGAGGTCGTCGTTGTTTCAGGCAAAAATTGAGAAACCAACTGCTAGTTATATAGTTGATTTTGAATTTAACAGAACAGAAAAGATAGGAACACATATGTTGCAAAAAATTGAGAGTGCAACTGCAGCTGAGGAAGTCTATTATTTGGGTTCCTTGGCAGTGCTTAACCGTGTGCTCAGATGATGTTTGTTACTGTAATGTTCGGAGTATGGTTGCAAGGCATGATTTGGCAGCGAGCGCTGGCATCGATTTTCCCAAGAGCAGGCCCCACCGGGCGTTTGGGTCGTTCATCCCATCCGGTCAGCCGCATCGCTTCGGTCGGCCGCTTCGGGTTTCGCGGACCGTTGCCAGGCTTGAAACTGCTGGGCACGGATATGTGTGATGAGAAGATTGAGATTGCCCGCAAGGGCGAATATCCATGGTACTCTCTGAAGGCTGGATGGGAAGATGTTCTTGGGATGCGGTTGGTGCAGGTGGTTGAGTATTTGGATCCGTGATCATATAATTTTGGCAGCCGCATCTGTTGGTGGAAGAATTTCGGCGGATTTCAAGAAGGTGCTTAGTGTTTTTTTTTTCAGTGGGTGCAGGATATTTTCCATCAGAAGTGATCCAGATTTTGTGGGCGCAGTGATACAAGTTATACCCCAGATTTCAACATGATATCGTTTCCCGGGGTCGTTGGGATCTGATTCTTTTTGGACCGGGCTTTGCAGGGACTGCCATTGGATTGGCATGCGCCTTGTCAAGGTTTTTCTTCATATCACTGGGCAAGACAAGTTGTGATACTTCGTGTTACCTGAAGTCTGTGAGACCTAAGGAGGAATATTTTGCAGCTGGGCTCCATTGTGCTAAATGGAGCAAGTAGTGTTCAGTCTGTGCAGCTCTAGACAGGATTTGTCCGTGTCCGTTACCTTCAAACAGCTGTAAATGGTGCCTATTGCTTGGCTGTTTTATCGCGCTTTCCAGCATTGCTGCTTGTGGTTTTGAAACACCAGAGAAGCCAACGAGCTGCGGCCAATGTTTTTGTGGCTTTTACTTGCAAAACTGAGGAAGCTCCCAATTTTCCAGTGGGCCGAATGAAAGGTGGGAGCCGGGAGAACCAAACTGTTGTTTCTTCAATTGTCTTCTAACAGCATGTTTCTCTAGTGATATTTGTTGAAGTGGTTTGTTAGTACTACTGATTATATATTCAATATTATTCATTCTGCTTGAACTGCACTGGGTATTACTGGGTAGCTATAACTATTATACTTGTCATATCTTATCATGAAGTTGTTCAAGACAGCCAAATTCCACAAATTCCCCTATGTTGGCCTTGGGGGTTTGTGTGACTATGAACCACAAGTCTTTCTTTAGAAGAAACCGTTCCTGTAATACTTAGTATATAATAGTTTCCAAGAAGCCGGAGGGTCAGTACTGTGTCATGCGGTCTGTGGGACCAATGTAGGTTCTGTACCGCCGAACAAATAGCAAAATTGACCCGCCCTCCACCCAACTTCAACAAGAATGAGCAGGACCGGACCGGAGGATCCTGGATAATGTTCATAATATCCAGGAAGGAGCCATATTCCGATTGCTGCTGCTGCTCCTCCTTCCGAAAGCGCACGGTCATTTACAAGCCCCCAAAGAGTAACCCACCTCCAACGGACCCGACGGGTCGGGTGCCGGGGTCGATCCAGGCCGACCCAAAGCAGCTGAACGTCTGGAGGCTGCCAAGGCCTTCGCGGAGCAGGACGTGGCGGTGGTGTGGGGTTTCCCCCACGGCGATCTTCATAGAGACCCTGGAAGGAGATAGAATGATGACAAAGATGTCGTGTTCTCTTTCAGAACGGAGACGTGAAGTTATTCCACCATGTCTAGCAGCATGTGTACGCCCCCAGGAATAATTTGAAGCATACACGTGTAACCGTAGCCCTACCACAATAAATATACATCTTACGTATTTAACTATAACCCTACCACAATACTACAAGTTGTTTATATAACTATTCCTACGGGTGGTCCATCAGCAAAATCATTCGCGGGCTCCCCGTTTCTGAACTCGAACAAACGTCGAAGCTCTCCGCCAGTGGCGGCCAGCGTGGAATCCTCCTGGCCCGTGGGATGCAGGACCCTGGACCTTTGTACAAAATCAAAGGGAGCAGCTTGGAGTTCGAGCGAACACTGAAGGAAGGGCCATGAAGAAAGGCTTCAGAAATGAATGTGTTCTAAGGGGCTTCAGAAAGGCTTGTCCAGGCTGTGTCCAGGCATTTTTGTCTCTCCCGTCCTTTGATCCTTTGGCAGTTCCTTGAACCGAGGCGTGAAATCGGGTGTAAGCTTCATGAAGCAGGTCCGCTCGGGAGTCTTTGCGTGGCGAAAACGAAGCACCGGTGACCAGAGTGAACCATCGGAGCATGGACGTGTCACTGAGCCACCAGGAAACACACAAGCGACAACCAGCTGAGAAGCAGCAATTGGGTTGGGAGGGGAGGAGGGGGACACGGAATCTGCCAGCTTCCAAACCCTTCGTCATCCTTTTCTGTGCATCTAAGTGTGACCTGTTAAGCTTTAGACTTGGGATTGCTTCCAGAGATGCTGCTCGCAAGGATGTAACCGAAGAGATGCCAGAGGGTCCCTTCGACATCATTCTCTCACGCTACGCAGCGACTGAGCAGACAAGTTAAGAGACGATTGTGCACTGTTCAAGATCCGTCACAGTACGTGTTCTTGCTGTTTGGCCTTGTTTGGCTGAGGTGTGTCTCTACTTGCAAAGTGCACAACTCTTCACTGTTTTAGCAGACATGGTGCAGCGACTGCGACCGGGCGGCTTCCTGGTGATTGGTGCCAAGGAGACTCAGAGCGTTCTCTGTCACGAGAGAGCATTTAATCCGTGGATGTTCATTTTTTCTTTAGCTGCATTTTGCTGCGTTCTCTTGCCAGTTCAGTAGAAGGGATGTACAGTCGGTGACGCGTTGTCAAGTCCAACCTGCACGGTTGCGAGGATCATTTGCCTAATGGTTTTTGTGAGAAGTTCGGCCTTACTGCCGTGGACTATCGTGGAGAGGAGGTGAATTCCATTGAGGTTCTTCGGTGACCTGGCGAACAAAAAGGGAGTGTTTGAGTTGATGAGAGATGCTAAGTGAGGGACGGTTCTTTCTGGACACTGACTTGTCTACCTGGAAAATCCAGTTACCTTTCAAACATCCTTCTTCCAAAGCAAAGACATGTGAAAGCAAAGACATGTGAAGAATCGTAAGCTTGTGCTAAATTGACTTGTCCAGATGTTGATGTCCTTGACTCGACATCAGAAGATGTCACGCCGAAGACGCAACGCACGCCGCACACGCAGCTGCAGATGCATCTTCCAGAAAGCGCCCTGCAGTACGCCTCCTTCTCCGGGGCGAACCCAGCAGCTTGGTGACCAACCCAAACACGCAAGACGCTCCCCAAGAAGGCGATTCCGAGCCATTGATGCATCCACCCTTGGTACCAGTCCAAGTTCCTCCAATTGTCCAATGTGATTCTTTTAAAGAGTTATTGTGGGTCCATCCAATCTGAAGGAGTTTAAGCAGTTTATCCCTCGATGTCCCATAGCGATACCTGAGATCTTCTCCTACGAACACATCTTTCTTGCAGACATACGCGAGTTTTTTTCCCAGATGATCAATGAGGATCAAGGATCAACTTCTTTTAAACAGAAAAGTACAACACGTTTTTGCTCAGGTTCTATGCGCAGTTCATGCGGCAGACAGGTGGTGAGCCCTACTGGGTGGCTGAGCGAAAGCAGTTGGAGCGGCAACGCCTGGCCGTCCGCATGAGACGCGGCTGAAAAGAGCTGCTCAAAACATCTCCAACGACATGTTGAAAGGAAACTATTCAATACTATTCATATGCATGCATTTATTCGCGTCGAAGGCTTTTTCGTGCAGCTTGCCAGAACATGTTTTTGCGCGCATGTTTGAAAAGATCTTTTTAAGGGAGAGTTTCCTGTGAACGCCAGACGCTTTGAGGAATCAGAAGAGCAGAGACTTGATGCAAATGGCGCTCGACGAAGGCGGGGAGGTCATGGGAGCGCGAGGAGACCGTGAGCGTCGATGTGAACGGTGAGCGTCGTGATGGTGAGCGTCGTGTGAAGCATTTTGTAAGTGCTTCGAATGGATGAAACCTGATGAAACGAGGTCGGCGCCAGGCTGAAAGCTTGTTCACCCGCGGCAGCAGTGTCTTGGCATACTTCAGCATACTTGGTTGAAGTATCGTTGGTGTACTGGTTTCGGTTAGCGCATACTTTGTTGACACTAAGCCTCAACCTGTGCCACCAAGACTTCGCAAGCATCAAAACATGCGAGTGGGAATTGCACTGTTACAAGCAGAAGAAACTGTGTTTTTTTTCCCTGTTTAACGATTGTATTCTGTTCAAAGGTTCAGTTCAACCCAGTTCCAATATGAATGTTTTTGTTATTTTTTGCTGCTTTCTAAGACAAAACACGGGCAGAATGGATGCAGGCGCTGTTGCTTGGTGATGTGTTTTTGTGGGTGGCACGAGAACGAAATAGAGTTGAGGATTCAACGCGGTAGAGAACTTTGCTTTGATTAACATGTTTTGCTGCTTGAGGGACTTGAGTCAAACTCTTTTGGTCACAAAAGTGACGTTTGACACACTTATGAAATCTTATGAAAGGGGACGGACTGTGAGAACATTTGAAAGTCCTGCAACATCCTGGTTGTGAGTAGCTGACTTGTGATGAGTCAAGCTCTAGTAGGCTGACTTGTGTGAGAATGATCGAGAACCCGTGGCAGCCCACGTATCAACCCCACGTTTCGTCTTCTTGACTCGCCGGATGGGCCAGGCTCGGGAAGTCTTCCAAGAGTCCAAGAAGCTTTCCACTGGCAGTTCCATTCCTAAGGCGCCCGTCATCTCTTCGTGCGCAGACCGTCGGTCGGTCCTGCGCGAGACGGACGAACTCCAGGAGGAGCGTGCAACGCGCTTGAAGAGTTTCCTGAAGCGACTGGAGCAGGACGAACGACTTGGCCCCGGACGTGAGGCCAAACTGATTGGGTCATGAAGAATGTTATGAAATACACATACAATCATAATGTCATGTGTCAACATATCAATAGAGTATTTTTTATTTTACATACTGGCCACCACTGACATAGAATTTGTCGGAAGTATATATAGTCAAAAACACAACTCCCATGTCATGAGGAACACCGTGTCCCAAGTCATCAATCAAAACTAGCACTATCAGGAAACTTAAGACACCCTCACCCTTTTGAGGGTTCCTGGAATGGTAGCTGATATCATTTCATCTTTTGCGCGCAACTCCTAAGTCATATCGCTGTTCATTTCACTCAGGTAGATATCCAATGTTTTCTGCTCCATGATGACTTGGGTAAACCGACCTGGCAACTACCTACTATGTCATTGGACCTAACAAGTTCTAAGTCATTGGTCCCCAGTATGCTCGCTGTACACAGCTTCCACAATATGTTTTGATATTTTTCATGCTTCAATCGGTGCAGCCAGTCAACTTTTTGCCTTTCAGGACCTAGCTGCTCGTGGCCGGAAGCCACTCGATTGAATACACAGCGTTTTAGAGTTTTTGGCGTTCCATCCTTTTCACATGCTTTGAAGAGCTTCAGCGCTAGTCCCAGTGCCTTCCGAGGACGCATTGGAAGAAGGGAGTGAAGGGAGGGGGCTGAAAACGTCGAGGGTCTTCACTGACTTCACCCCAAGGGCCGCAAAATCATTTTGAGGTCGCCTTGAGGTCGTACAGCTGAGGTCGATAGCGGTGCAGCTGCAGCAGTTTCTTCCCAGTTCCTTGGACGTCTGACAGCGAGTGATCGTGGACGTACGTGGGTTGCTTCGATCTTGATGTAGAGCAGCTTGATGTAAAGGCAAAAGACCTGTCAACGGCCTCCTCAGGTGGGAATAAGCAGCTTCCCCATGCTTTGTCGAACGAACCGTCGAGACATGTCGAGACTGTGTGACTTGATCAAGGCTTAGTGGATCCTGCTTGACTGCTTCGGTTCTGTCATGTAATTAGTGTAATTAGCATCCTCGTGCCAATAGTCTCTTGTTATTGGGGGGCCGACCCGGTCATTTTATAGAGAGTGGCTTCTCTATGGAATCAAAGCTGCTGTTAGCAGGATTATGTGACATGAGAGAATGGTCGTAATTTACGGTGGATGTTAAAGCGAAGTTGTCCATCCTATAGAGAGAGTCTCTGATTTTTTGGAGGTGATTTTGTGTGTTCACTGGTTTTGATCCTATAGAGTTGAATCAATGGCATTCAATCTACAGAGTACGCGTTTTGGGTACTTGTGGCATTGCTGATGTCAAGGAGTGGTTACCATGTTTAAGAGGTGTATTTCTGCCAGCCACGCCTCAGGTTTCCATTCTATAATAGACTGTTGTGGGGTATCCCCGGGTATCCCAGGGTTGGGTGTCCCCCTTTTACTACTATGGAACGGGGAGTCCGACCCTCACCTGAATTTCACACTGTGATGCATCCACAATAACAATCATTGAGAGGCCGACACAATCATCGGTTTGACGTAAAGTACTCTGCTCATACCCCCAGTAGCGTCCTTGCTCCTAGTAGCGATGCCAGGAGCTTCTAGTAGCTTCTTGTTACTAGTAGCTACTTGCTCCTAGTAGTACGGCCAGGAGCCCCTAGTAGCGTCCTTGCTCCTAGTAGCGATACTCATACCCCGGCCAGTCGACCGATGACCCCAAGGTGGCTTCAAAAAGAAAAAGAGCCTTGGTTGCATCTCCTGGATGAGCTCACATGAGCTCACAGCCCACAGCTGATTGCATATTGGCGCAATGCAGTTCAGGAAGAAGAAAAAGAAAAAGAAGAAGAAGAGCAAAAAGAAGAAGGCTCCTGTGGAGCAGCTTGGAGCAAATGGGCCGAGCAAGCGGATTTGCCAAGGGCGGCTGGTGAGAAGACACTATCTCATAGTGCTAGAATTCAAAAGCAACTACTTGACGACTGGCTAAATGTGCTTGCAACCAAGAGAAGCACTTTTTGTTTCGCTCAAAACGTCCTGTCGCTTCAGCCTGTCTCTTTAGGCTTGAAGTGGAAGATGGGGACGCAGAGGTCCCAGACCTGCAGGACCTGCAGGACCTGCCAACGCTCGAAGAACTCCAAGCGGAGCCGCTCGAGGACGGCGACGTGGACGCCGAGAACGTGCTCGGCGTTTCTTCGGACGTCGAGGACGACGTGTCCGGGGACGGAGACGACGATCTGGCGGATCTGGCCGACTTGCTGGATTTCAACGAGGATTCCACGCAGAGCACGCCAAAGTTTGCGCGCGCGTTCTAAGAATTTTTGGCACCCCCCTATGCTGATTAAGACCGAATTGAATAACTGAACTACTCAGCTGCAACTTCTTTGTTGTTCTTGGGATTATTTGGTGGCTGAATAAGAATTATTTGTCCACAGTTGGTGCTGACTCAACGTTGCAGTCCAATGACCGAGACTGAGTTTTTCAAAATCGCCACTGAACGACGAGGTCTAATTGTCCTTGTTCTAGAAAGGTTCGACGTTTGACATTGATCAATTCTATCAACACAGCTCTTGGATGCTCTTGGTGCGTTCCAGCAGTGACTTTGGAACTCTCAGTCCACTTGGTAGATGGAGCCAGATGTCGTGGAGCTCGTCGTACAGCATCAAAGTAAGTCAGGACTTTGCAAGTAGATTCCTGCTCAGGCGACATTTGACTACAGCTTGATCGCAGACACCACTAAGTGGTGTGACGTGCAGAGAAAAAGGGCCACTTGCACACAGCAATCTGCGCAGCACAATGGCCAGTCACATCTTCAGACTACAAGTCTAAGTGGCTAGACCACTTGCTAAGCCATGCCACATCGCCTACGACCAATGACCCACTTCAATCCATTTCTGGTCCTCCCCACCTGGTCCTCCCATCCTGTCGAACGTCTGAGGCCGCCCCTGGCAACTTCAGGTCAGAGAAGGTGCCGGAAAGCGTCAGACGGTGCTTTAAGTGTCAACCAACTTTGTATTATAAGGAATAAGGACATGTGTGACATGTGTGACATGTATGCTGTATGGACATTATCATGTTTGCTAAAAAGGGATGTCCAAAGTTCTAACGTGGATCTTCGATGTTTGTGACGAAGATCCGGTGAACAAAGCACGAAGCTCAAAGGCATGGCTCTATGGGCCCCGACCCTCTTCATCCTCTTGCCAGGCCGACCTTTTGGACGCACGACGCGACACGCAGTGGATGGATGGGGAAACATATGGAAACATATGGAAACATCACCGTCAAATACCAGCACTAGTGCAGGAGACCTGCCGACTCAGAGGTTTGTGTGATTCACCTGTTGGTGCTTTCGACCTCATGTGACCTGGGTGCTTTTTCAATCTTTTTCATATTTGGGTCTGTCCGGAACTTACTTGTAACTCTCAGACAAAAACAACACACTTTTGGAACAAGGGCTGCAACTGAACCATCATCCACTGTTACTGGTTACAAAAATAGACCCAAGGTATCTTCAAGAAGCCTTAGACTTCGAGCACTTCCGACCTCTGCACGGCTGCAGCCTGCAGGCGTCACGACGGCCGTCGTGGGCACCGTGCGTGTCGCCACACGGCGCGGCGCCGTGCCAGGTGCGGCGGGACGAAGGGAAGGTCAATGTGTCAAGCATTGACCTTATAGAGGCTACTGGTACTTCGAAAGGAAGTCATCTATCTATTTTAGGTGGAAGTCAGTGATTCACAGGGGACCCAGGAGATTTGGAACCTCGGCTGTTTAGACGCTGGATTTCCCAAATTCTGAACCTCATGCTTCAAGATGCTTCAACATACCTTGAGGCCTTTTTTAAACCTTCAGCCTTTAGCTGTTTTGTTCAGCAGCACAGCAATCGGACCGGCTCCAGCGACTTCCAAAAACCTCCATCCATCCATGTGAGTCCATCCATCCTCTGGATCCTTTAGGAGAGTGTTTCAGTCCATCCGCTGGGGATATTTTCCCGTCCTCCGCTTCGGTTTCCGCTTGGATCCGGGACATGGGGTGAAAAGCTCCGCGAGCGAGCGGAGCTTGACCCGTCAACGGGCGCGGGGGAAGCAATTCGCCATGGCGCGAAGCCGGGGTCAACGCCAGCGCCTGTGCTTTCTAGGCCGGGAGGATCCTGCAAGGAGTGTTGCCAGGATTCTTTGGCAGGCGAAAGCTATTATATTACGATTGTTATGTCTTTCGGGCAAATGAGAAAACACACGATGCATCAAGATGCAGGGATATTGACTTGCGCCAGTTGCGCTGTAGCGCTGTAGCTGTAGCTTTAATTTCGTCGTGGCATTCGGTGCCTGCCAATCTGTTGGCGAGGTGCTGCTTTTGCCTGCGCGGGTTCACTGTGCTGGACAAAATTTCCGGGCTTTCACGTGGTTCCCATTGAGGGCAAGGCCTTGCATGGTTGTCGAGCTGCTGACTGCGGTGAAACGATGTGAAACGAAGTTCTAATTACATAATCAAATGGTAGGTAGTCCAAGCCAACATTTGTCGTAACAGCGGATGTGTCCGCAGCGAGGGTCTTGGAGCAGTGGCGGAGCAGAACTTTCAAGCTGGCGATTTGGTTTACGAAGAGTCACCGCGCATCATGTGGGATGCCGAGGAGCATCATCTTCCGGCAGGAAAGACAGAAACTAACGAAGCTTAAGTAGCACCTACTTCGCGTAGATGGCTCCTTGCCAGCAGGATGCGGCAAGAGTGCAGCTGCTGAAACTGGTCGTTTCTTCCACGGCATATCAGTGGCTTGACAATTGTTTTCTTTACTCAACATTTGGTGAACAAGTGATCAATATCCCGAAGCCTCAGGTTACCAGGCTTGTCCAGACTCGGAGATGACTACTGTAACCTTTGTGAAAATAATTGTGTGATCTGGTGAGATGTTTCTGAAAACGACACTGAGTCACCGAGTAAACTTTTTAAGCTTCGTCATGTCCAAGGCAGCTATTCTTTTGCTGGTCTCGATCTTCCTCTTCGTGGCATTCAACTCAGGCACCGGACGAGTGTGCATTCCACATGGATCTCTCTAGTCCGTGCGGCCGACACGTGTGCGATCACAGATATCTACAGGTCGGGTTGGGTGGCGATGGACTGGTTTAAAGATTGGTGAGAACAAAGGGCTAGAACAGTCTCATGTCCTTCGAACTATAGTTATATAACTGCATTGCATGGCTTTGTGTGGCTTTGCATTGCTTGGTGGAAGTACCGGTCGACACTGCTGCACAACTCGTCGGCAGTTGGCTTGGTGCCTTTGCCCTTGGCAGCTGCGGTGGCTCTTGGCAGGTGCAGCTGCACTGCCGGCACTTTGCTGTTCCGAAACCACAGAACGGCGGTCCCCGAAACGACCGAAGGATTGTCATGTTCGAGCATCAAAACGCTCACAAGAAGGAAGCTGAAAGCTGAAGCTGGCTGCAGTCGAGGTCTTTCCTTGGACTAATATGGAATCTATTAAAGATTCCTATATGCCGTATGTCAATATATGCCAATAGTGAGATCCATTTTCCCAAGCCATCCTCCAAGATTGTGAACACCTGCAGAGGCCTGAGGAAGTGCCAGAAGAGGTGAAGGATCAGTGGAATCAGCTGTCGCAAGAGCAGAAAGACCAGCTGAAAGGCCTGCATCAGTGGGGTCAGGGATCAGAGTTGTTGTTCTTGTTCTTGTTGCTTTTGTTCTTGTTGTTCTCCTTGTTTCAACCACAAAGCCCCCACTGACCCGCATTGGTGATGAGTCTTTTTGGTTGCAGCTCTTTGGTTAACTTGACCATTCCAAACTCAGTGACCCACATTGGGAATGGTGCCTTTCAGGGTTGCAGCTCCAGAGGGTTTCCAGAGGGTTTGGAGCTCTTTACTTGACAGTTGCCCACGGTCAAATTTAACCTTTGTTGCTTTTTTGGTTAACTTGACCATTGGTGACAGTGGGAATTGGGCCCTTTCTGCAAGGGCTGCTTGCAGCTCTTTAACTGACCCACATTGGGAATGGTGCCTTTCGACCAGAAGATATTGAATACTAGAAAATGAAAAATACATAAATATACAACCAATTGTATGTTTTTTGCTCTGGGGAGCTGGGACTGATTAATAGGAGGAGGTTTCTGGTAGAGAAAAGAATATATTAGGGTGATGCCAAGGTGGAAATCTAGGCTTTCGATTAGTTTAGTGTTGGGGGGGTCGAGCTGGGGTTGATTAATACGGGGTGGTTACTTAATCCTGTGTCAACATTACTGTCAGACTTTAATTTTCTAATAAATCAATAGTCACGAAAGGTAGCGGTTACGCTACCTGAGTTTTCCTTTTGCTTTAGCAAAAATGTATTAACCCAGAGCTGCAGCCTATCTCTCGGAGAAATGGTCCCCGACATCTTCGTTTGCTGGCCGGGGGGGGGGGGGCCCCCCCCCCCCTCCCCTTTCAACTCCACCCTAGCGCGCCTCGGGGTCAACCGTTCGAAAACACTGTAAATATCAGTGTTTTCAGCTCTTCCAGTCCTCAGCAGTGACCAAAAATCATGGAATTTACAGCGTTTTTTGTGGCTGTCCGGCAAAAAACACCGCAAAAACCGATGGTTTTTGATGCGTCTCGGTTAGAAAAATGACCGAAAAAAGACCAAAAACCAGGAAAGATTTTGTCAGAAAGGGTTTTTGAGGCTTTTGGAGGCTTCAAAATTGCACAAAACTATGGTATTTACAGGGTTTTGTGCACCTTCCCGGCAGAAAACGCCGGTATTTACACGGTTTTCTGCGCTTTTCCAGCGCTCAACCGTGGTGCGCCTTTGGATCGACGGCTACAAAATACCGTAAATACCAGTGTTTTCAGCTCCTCCTGTCTTCAAGCGTGGCCTTAGACCATGCCACGGCTGTGGATCGACGGCAACGAAACCTCGTAAATACCAGTGTTTTTGAGCACGTCCTGTTTGCAAGCATGGCCTGCGGCCACGCAATTTACAGGGTCGCCGCACGTCACTATGTAAATCCGAAGTTGCATTTGAGAAATATGTGACTCCTTTTGAAGGCACGTCAACCTGTATTGAAACCGCTAGACCGCTACAGCTTCTGGAGGTTTTGTCAAGCGTTTGTGCATTAGTCTTTCTTTCATCACGCTCACTCACTTCTCTTCAAACAAGTGGGGGGCCTCTCACCTCCTCCCGGATTACGCCTGATTCCCTGCTACCTTTCGTTCACCCCCCTCCTCTCTCAAGTATATCACTATATTCATACAATATACTTTATAAGTGCACTTGTAGCGAGTGTCGTCCAATAATTGACCGTTTCGGGTCAGGCTTGAGCGATGCATCTACCGAGAAAAGTATGAGACTGGGCGAAACGATCAGAGCTCCACACCACACCTCCGTCGTCATGAAACGCAGGGTCGCCGACCATGGTGAAGTTTCTTGTTTTTTTGTCCAGCTTTTCTGGTATATGCTTTCCCTAGGATTCCAACCGCCATGAATTTAATGGTTCTTACCGAACAACAATTGCGTTACTCAGAATGTGCACTACAAAAACCAGGTCCACCAGGTCACCATTTGTTTAAGTGGTCCTGGAAGCTGAAGGGGCGAGCCGGGCAGTGAAGAAGGAGTTGAAACCGTGACTGGTGGTTCCCTTTGGTTTCCCTGCCTGGTCACCCTCATCCAACCATCAGGTCTGAACGATGGGTCCGAGTGGCCTGGTGGATCATTTGGTGTTGTTGATGCCTCATTATTGGGCTTTGCCTGGCTCAGTATTAGTATAGTATAGTCAAGTTAATCTACTGTAGGTGCCCACCATGTCAGTTCCATTTTGGATCCCAGGATGGGAATTCTACGGACAAATGGTTTCTCCAGAGGGGCCAGCAAAAGCTCTTCGTCCTTGCTCTTGTGCCCGGTGTTGGCCAGGACACATGTTGCAATCTGCAATCATTGAGAGCTGTGAGGGAAAGGGAGACGAAAAAGGGGAAGGATCTTGCTCAACAGCAGCGCACATCATGCGCTGCCCGCCTCAGCCCTTCTTTCGGCAGGTTCAACCACTCCTGTTCTCCAAATTGTCAGCAGTCTTGGGATGAGCAATCAGGCCCGTCCTTCCGTCTTTGTTGCTTGGCTAGCTATCATGGCATCGTTGAAGGAACCGAAAAGCTCTATGCCATGACAACGATTCAGAAAGGTGAAGAACTTTGTTCGGGCCTCAGAACTTCCTTTCCCAATGGACGGTCAATGGACGTCAATGTCATGTCAATGGACGGCAGCCCCTGAACTGAACATATATTGTTCGATGCATGGTAATTCACTCACACCCATGCAATGGCGATGTCCACGTGCAGACTGAAACGTTCCGTGAGTGAACTCACACCCACGACCGGACCTCACGACGAGTGACCACCGAAGGTATCACCTACTGTGACCTGCGCGAGCCACGAGAGGTGCGGCGCGAGACCTTGCAAGCTAAGCAGCTTGGCGCATTCTTGGGAAGTGAACACGGCCATGTGAAGCCGAAGCTTCCGGGAAGCACAATGTTTTGGGTGATGAAAGCACAACTATCCTGACTATCCCAAACTAAGATGAACGTCTGGAAGTCGTTGATTTTGATGCGTTGACCATAAACAAATATCTTAAAATCCATGCATATACATCCCTAAATTGAGCATCATGTATAGAACGGGTTCGCATGAATTTTGGACTCGTGGAGGCAAGGGTTGCGATTTGTCTGGAGTGGTGGGCTGGAGTGCGAAGCCGGAGTGGGCTGGGACACGCAGTGCGAAGACTACGGACCGTGGATGGTTTTGGGACACGAAGCGGCAGCCGTGTTCCTTGCGGTTCCTTGGTCCCGGAAGCTTCACACATTCAGAATCATTTAGAGGTTTGCTTTTCCATGCTTTTCTTTGTAGAAGACCGCAAGTGAAGAGGCGTTTGGCATGGAAATACCAAGATTAAACGTGAAAGACAGACGACATGATGCACGTTCCATGGGGTCCATCCAACGACCCAGCGACGGTTTCTGCGGCCTGTGCAGAAAACGGACGGCTCAACTGGGCACGAAACCGATAGAGATTTACCACTGGTGCCACACGGAAAAGATAGGTCAATATTTGAGATAGGTCAATTGCTTCATTCGAAGATGTTCTTCGTGCTTTTGTTTCCCATGTTTCAAAATCCCACCGTTTCTGAAAGGGAACATCTTGAGGTCCTTGCTGTTTCGGAGGAAGGAAACACCGACCCAGTTTGTTTTGGTTTCCAGGTACGGTTTCCGCTGCGCTTGCGTTGCCTGCGACGTGGCCAGCGCCGTTGCCGAAGCCAGCGACGCTCGCCGTGGCGAGGCGGCCAGGTGTGCAAATCCGTGCCTCTTTGAGGGTGTTCGAAGGATTCGGGTATTCCATGGTGAGATGTGATAGTTAGTTATTTCTTATATTAAGTATATTACTTATTAATTGTATAAAAGCATGATTAATGCATGTATACAATCATCCTGGAATAGATAGAATCCGGAATTGAAAGGGGGTAATTGTTTTTTGAAAACAGTGGGGGTGAGAGTCTTCGGCCGACAAGTGGAATTCTGCTTCATCCCGCCAGCGGGTGAAGCAATCCAGTCAGATCAGTGTTTGGTGTGCGGACAGGTGTCGCCTGGCTACCCACGACATGCAAAAAGCTGTGCTGGGTGCGACGTAAAGATTAAAGATGAAAGAACGACCCATAGATAGAATATTGTTCAATAGTCAATTGCTGTTATGCATTTGCTAGATGAAAAAGCAGCCGACCACTTCTTAAGGATGTCGTGCAGTGAACCATGGGCAGAATAAGGGGCAGGAAAAGGGGAAAGGCGACCGCGCTCGGCGGTTGGTGACACCCATAGAGCCAGGTGAACCCACCAAACCGATGGAGCAGATTCCAGTGGACCCAATCATCGAAGAAGTGGTTTTTTCTGCGGGTGGCAGGCTGCAGGAGATGCTGCCAAGCGCTGATGCGGCTGAAGGTGTGCAGATTGCAAAGAGGATTTTGCAGCTCCTGGACGAAGAAGGCAAGTCGTGTGAACCACCTGCAACATCAATTGATAGACCCTATATGAGTGCAAGCAAGCGGATGTAAAGCAAGTGGATGTTAAACAATTTGGACTTTGACTTGGATAACTTTAGGGCTCCAACATATTCTTTTGTAAAAAATCACATCAAGACAACAATTGTTCAATCATTTGTTCTCTTGCGGCAGAATTGCTTATCCAGCCTTTGCTGCCCATGTCATCGGATGTCATCGGACATTTTTTCGAGGCATTGCCGACTTGACTCTGCGGGGCCTGGCCTGCTCCGAGGCGCACAAAGTCTTTGTGTCAAATGTCAACAGCATTTTTTCTTCGGGTCATTAAAATAACTTTAGAGATTTTGGAGGGATCCCATATTCAGACTTTGGCAGTGTATTTATGTATATTCATCAGAGCGCAAGACCATTGGGTTGAAGCAGACATCATTGATGTCAGACATTGTCAGAAACATCAAAGCATATCACAGCGCATCAACAGTCAACAATTTGGTGAACCGTCATGCTAGGGTTCGTTGCCCGCACCGTTTTTGGCTTTGGATACCACCCAAAGCATGAGGTGTTGCTTGAAACATGAAAAGAAAGTGTGTGGCCATTGGCCTCCTGCCAGTGCCAAGGCACCCGACATTTCAGTCCCTTCAATTGGGTCCATCCGGCACATTAGCCACCGTATACACCTCCTGGTGTGTTTCAAAATAACAAATCTAGTTCGAGAGCATGGAACCAATCACTTCAGGGTTTTGTTTGCGGCAAGGTTGTTACCGAACACATTCCTTTGAAGGTCTTGAAGGTCTTGCCGCTCAATGGGGCTGTATGGGATCCTTTCAGAAAGGTTTGACCCCCCCGTCATCGCCCTTGCCTTTCGGGTCAACCCCTGCCGCGGACTGGGCGTGTGGGTTCCCAAAGGCGCGTTTGACCTTCCCCAATGGCTCCCAACGAGCGAAGGCTTCCAAAGCACGTTGGCAGGCAGTGCGTCATTGCCAGCGCTTGGGAGACCTGCAGCGGGCTCAATCCTGGGCGAAGCAGGCGCAGGGAAAGCTTCTGTGTGTGCGACCATAATGTTGTTCAGAGGATTTGCCAGGTCATTGAAATGTATAATCGTTCGGTGATGTTGGGAGCCAGCCAGCGCGCTCCCTGAGGCCTATATCTTCTACAGCCAGGCAGGGCCACAGGTCCAGTCTCGCCTCTTGTGAAAGCCGCAAGCACCGTCCCAGGCCCGTGGTCCAGAAAGCCAAATCGCACGAAGGGCAAAGGAGTACCTGGATGCGTTGGATTCACCGGAGGTTGGAGTATGACTGATGCGGACTGATGCGTCAGATGTGTGGTACAACAGTTAAACAACAGATGCGTTGGATGACAACTAGACCGTTGAAAAATGGTTAGGACTCGAGTGCATCCTGGATGATATTTTTATATATTTTTGAATTGTGAAAGATCGGTCAGATGTCGATAAGAGATGCTATGCAAAAAGTTTGTTTTGCAGGTCACCGCCACCTCCAGCGGCTGAGATCAGTCTGCGTCGCTGCGCCACCGCCACTGTGTGAGCTGACCTGTAACCCAATCAGAGCAGGAAACAAAAAGGAATCACTTGCGGACCAACTTGTAGATATGACATGGTGCAGGGAGTTGCCGGTATACTTAGTGCAGCACCATGTGCCTACTTGTCTCCGTTCTGGTGAGGTGCATGTGAAGACTGCGAGCTCCGCAGTCTACGAAAGATTTCGAAAGCTCATTTAACCATATTTAACCATGGAACTTCAGAAATCCAGAAATTCAGTCATTCAGATAGTATTATAGTTGTTGCTAATGTCAGTCAGTCAGTGCTGGTGACAGCCGTACATAGCCGTTTCGACGTTGTTTCTTTTTGTCGCGACAGGTCTTGGCCGTCACATTGATGTCTACAGCACCGTGTCCAATGAACAACTCAAGGACTGCGACGGACTGAGATGGACATGATCGGAACTCATAGACTGATCCTTTGGCTTCATTTGATCATAATATAGATCCAGATCCACCGCATCTTCGGCTTTCGGGTGAGATTGTTAGATCTCTTAATGATATTTAATGATATTGGTTTCAAGTGTCTTCAAACATCTTCAAACCACATATTAGTTGTTTCTCCGAGAGTTCGGAGCTCCTAGCTGCGCGCGTCGATTGGGTTTTGCCCTCGAGGTGTTTTGTGCCCAAACGGCGCCCAGATGCGCCCAGTTTTCATGGCACGTGAGGTTTCTCCCTCTTCTTTCGGTCGCTTGAGCGTTTGGCTCGGGTTTGCGAGCCGAGAAGGGATCCCTTTACGCCTTAGTGTTCAGGCCGGACTGGGACGGGTCACAAAGCTGGCCAGAAGCTTTCACATCACCCAGGCGAAAAGGCGGGCTGTCGCTGTTCGGGTTGTTTGGGTCGTTGCATGAGGACATCGGCAGACCGGTAGACCGGTAGACATTGGAGTTGATGTGACAAGGTCAGCCACGCAAATAAGTGTCAAATCCATGGGGCGACTCCATTTTAAGAGAATCCGAACAACGAACTGGTCAGATGCAAGATTGCCGCATGCGCAGACTTAGCCAGGGCCTACGACAGACTGATCAACATCATGAAGGTGAAGAAAGGACACAGATCACCATAGTGACGCGAAGAAAAGGTGTCCTGCCAATGCTGATTGACGGGTTGCTCATTGCTCTTTGCAGAAACATGCAAGCTGTGTGAAGGAAGCTGAATCGAGCTGAGGAGCCTCGTAGCCAAAATCTCAACCTGCAAATCTGGTGTTTGCCTGTTTGGCCAAAAGCTTAGCTGTTTGGCATGGGGCTTTGTGGCCCATTTTTGCATCTCGCAGGCAGACTTTGGTCATCACAAACTTACAATGCCTTCCAAACATTTCCAAAACTTATAAGTAATTGAACATACTTTTCAGAAATTGGAGACCTTCCGAGTGAAGACAAAAAAGGCTACAACCAGAAGGTTATCAGAACATTGCGACTTAGTGGTAGACATCAAACAGAGCCATTAAAGCAAGACTGGCAGAAGGGTTCCGATGCAAGGGCTGCTGGCCAGACTCTCAGTCCTCAACATTGAAGGAACAATTACTTGATCTATTTGTCATGTTTCCTTCTATTCGCTTGTCCAGTTTCAGCCTACTAATAATAGTCATAATTTATCAACATAATTTACAGTATAATCATGTATAATCTGACTCCTCGTCCAGCGCAGATGTGGAGGATCCTTAAACGATCCTTAAGCTTAAAGGATTGTTTTTTCCAGGTGGGCGATGCTGTCGACACCATTTGCGTGCTCGAGATGGAGGTCCTGGCACAGGATCAAGCGGCTCGCGTCCGTGTCGCTGCTGCGGAAGACAAAGCTGCTGCTGCCAAAATCCAGTTGGATTCCATGGCACGCGCCCACTTCTTAGTGCAAAACAAATTAAAACTCGGAGTGGTACATTTGTTTGGGGATTGGCATGGAATTGGCCGCTCGAGGCGATTGCTCAAGAGAGGAAGCAAGCTTTAGCAAACTTGCAGCGCTACGAGCGTGACGTCGAGTTGGAGGCGGTAAACAGTGCTAATAGATTCTAATTAAATTCTTTAGTTTATTTGTTGTTTCTAATAGCTTCTTGTTCCTAGTAGTACGGCCAGGAGCCCCTAGTAGCATTTGCTGTTTGAACCGGAAGACGACGCCGGAAGTGCGCAGACGTGCTGAAGACATGCTTCGACATGCTTCGATGGGGTTTCTGAAGACTGAACAAGTAGTGAATGGATAATATACATGGATGGCTATTGTATGATTTTGTCATATTTGGTCCATGCACTTCCAACATTCCATGCATTTTGGTTTGCTGGCTCTTCCGCCTCCTTCGCTCGGCGAGGTGAGTCGGAAGATTCGGCAAGCCGAAAGCCATGCACAAGCGGAGGACGTGAAGTTTGCATGCGAAATCCTCGAAAAGATTCTGAAAGTCCTTTGACTCAAGATTCTGGGATCTTCGGTTTGAATTTTGATGTATTTGGTATGTTTTCGTATGTTTCGGTTGGACCATTTCACTAGCCGCTGACCAGAATGCTAGCAGAAGGGCCAGCAGCAGGGAATCGGAATCGTGTCGTGATGCCGCGATGCAGCAGGGAATCGGAATGACTTTTTTTGATTTTGCTGCATGTGACGTGCCTTGTGCTGCTTGAGTTCACTTGATGTGAATTGCTGTGCTGCTTCTTGAAATGGGTCAGTCATATTCGGTATCGTTTTGTGTATTATGTTTGGATCCTTGTGCTTGTGCTTTTAACTTGCGACATGATGATTCATGTTTATGTATATGCTTTTGCGAATCATCTATATAGCTATACTTCCCACTGTGTTTTGTTGTGATTTGCTTGGTGTCGCTACTTCCTACTGCAGACGAACGCTAGCAGGGCTATAGCAGGGCTGCCCAGTCGAAGGGTTGTGGTGATTTGAATGGTTGTAGCTACTCCTCGCCGCACAAGGTTCATGCACACAGTTACAGTACCCCTACTCACTCAAACAGAGTACTGTTAGGCTCAAGCACTTTGTTAGGAGGGCTTTCTTATTGGCCTCTACGCATACCCTAATTTCTTGCTACAGTTTTAGGCGGATTTTAGGCCCTGGCTTGAAAGAAAGCGGTTTGCCACTTCATGAACGAAGAGGGAGTGCTTAGAATGTTTGGAGGGTGAGGTCACTCAGATTCGAATACGAAGGATACTTGGAACTTGGAAGTTGCCCCTACTCCATGAATAGGTTTTCAGAAGTACAATAATTCTTGGAGACCTCGCTGAATGTGCCTGGTGCTGTCACAAGATGGTCTTGGCCACCCTTGGCCTCTTGCTTCCATTATGCCTTGCAAAAGGGGTTGAGGATGGGTTGAGATTTGCACACTACGCGCAAGCAGTTTTGGAGGCTTTTGATGGCTTGTGAATTGATGTAGCCTTGGCCACAATAGAAAGCTGTATTTTGCATGCCTGTTTCAACGAAGCTTTCTTTGTGCTAGCGTTGGACGAAGGAGTTGAAGCTGCAAAGTGCTTATCGTGCGTTGACTTGTCCTCAGTGTGGTGCTGGTCCTGCTTGTTTTGTTTTCGTTTGTTCCTCTGTGGCCTGGGTGCCTGAGGTCATCAGCAAAATTTGACTTGGACTGCTTGCAGAGGAAGGCGAAATAATTGAGTTCCTCGAATGAGATGTCCTGAATTTCTTCGACCAGTTTATGTGCCGATACAACTGCTGGGCGCTTTGAGCCACAAAAGGCACCTGCTTCTACTTGCAGCTTCAGGGGTCCAAAGGTGGCCAGAAGCAACGATTCCCACAGGGAACATGGAATGATTGAATGGGTTACTACATGTGGAACAGAACCACAACCCGTTTCAGAACCACCAACACCATGCGGAACACCAGTGCCCCACTGCTCAACTCCCTGACCGCCTTCGCGGGGTTCCCATGGCGGCGACGGTGCCTGGACCGCGACTGCAACCTCCAGCCTTGGAGCAATCGGGAGCGTCCCACTCGCAGCTGGAGGTCTCCGAGGCGGCCAGCGACATCTTGCAGGCGCGGGGGGAACTGGAGATCCGCTGGATTCTGGAGCTCCGAAGTGACAAGATGGACGGTTGTAGCCCCTGCTGAGCCAGCAGCAGAAACTCACGGTTGGTCAGTTGTTGGGTAAAGAGATCTTGTTTTGATTTTGACTCACATTTGTGTTTTGGAAGCAAAGACATACACTGACACTCCCTGAACAATCATGGAACTGGAACGTAGGCCCCCAGACCCCCGCAAGACCATTTTCCTCTGCAAGGGGGTCCTGCTGGTCAGCTTCCATGATTCTTGGAGGGAGGGTATAGGTGTATGGTACTGTGCAGATGGACTTTCCGTGTCCCAGAAATTGCAGGCAGAACGGTGTCAGTGTTCTATTCTGAACCAATGGCACGATGTGGAACGATGTGTTTTCGGAGCAAGGTCTTATCTTTGGACGTGTGCTGCCAGGATCTTCTTATCCATGGGAAGTTCTAAATCGCGAGGATGTCATTGTTGGTTCATCCGGCAGGTCCGGTTCGATCAACATCCCATGTGCTCCCCCAGGCTCTTCAGAACGTTCATGATTCCATTCTTGGGCGCCTGGATGTCCTGGACAGAGGTGCGCAAATTCCGCCACGGTTTGCCTGACACCGGACACCCCTCGAAATCAGCGCGCAGCCGGAGATCTTAGCAAGCAGCGATTTAGAACTCAGACACCCACTTAATTTGTTTAAATCTATTTGTTTGGATTTGCCAAGGGGTGTTGTCGCCTGTCTTGGAGACAAGGAAATGATCTCAGAGTGGGGAACCACGATAACTATTGGACATTGGACAGTGTCCATGTAGGGATAAAGTTGTTTGTTGTGAGTTTTGTTGTGGTTTGAGCAAACGAATCTGTGCGAATTTGGGCTTAAAGACGAGTGATATGCAGCTTCCAGTTTTCTTGCATTGGGCAGTGTTGGTGTCTGAAACCTCAATACTCCACTCCATTTCATCAGGATCAGGATCATCGGGCATCCCCTTCAAAACGGGGGTCTTTTTCCTGGGTTCTTCCCAGCGACCGGACCCGGTTGAACCTGCGGCTCCGAGCTGCCAGACGTGCAGAGAGCGTTGCGGCCAAGCACGATGGCGCACGATGGCTTGGCGGCAACGGTGCCTGGTCTGCGACGGCCCACCGAGGGTGAAAGGGGTATTGTTTCTTTTTTGGTTACCACTTTCGTTGAGGTGTCGTTGTTTTTTTTCGTCTGTCAGCACAGCATTTCTCATGTCATTTGACAGGTAAGCTGGTAACGTTTGGGTGGTGGAACATAGGTCCTTAGAGTCCTTGTGGTGATTTTGTCCCAAGCAGTTTACTGTTTACATTTGTTTGCGGTTGGAGGCCAATTCAACATCAAAAACGCAATGGCCTGTTTGAAGTAGAACTGTTTACTGAAAGTTTACTGCAGTACACAGTAGAGTCCATGCCAGTGTAGTGGAGGAGTACACAAAGCTCTTGAAAACATATTGAAAGTCATGGAGCCCAGGTACCACGACTTCCACCTCCAGACACTTGGCAGATCAGTGGCCATCGAGGAAGCGACTTTTGTTTGCTCCAAAACTGACTTTGGTGCGTCGCGTCCTCTGGGCGATTTGCGATTGATGTCCCCAACTTCGGTGTGGTTACACTGAAGTTTAAAGTTGTTCCCCAAAATGTAATTAGATGTAGACTCTTGATTAATAACCCCCTCCTTTGAAGAGGATGTTCAATTCAAATGGGGGGGTGTATTAATCAAGAGTCTACATTAGTGGCTTAACAAAAAGGGTTTGATCCAGACTTCCTCCATTGGCCGCAACGTCCCGCCCCGACGCGGACCGGCGAAGCGTTCATCCGCCCCGGCTCGGCTCAGGTGCACGGTCTTCCGAATGGGAATGGCCTTCAGAACCTCGGTCTCAACGTCAGGCGATGTCCTTTCGTGAAACACGCCACTAGGTGATGCGTTCAACGAGTCCGTGTTTTTCGCAGAAGGCAGAGAATGCCTTATCCGGTCCAAATGCTTGGAACCGTGAGGCAAGCAGCTTCGCAGCACTTAATGACTGCCCGGCTGCTTCTTCTCAGGATGAACGTGCAGAGATATTGCAGAAATTCTATTCGATATCACGCACGTGCAGGCACTGGTTGAAGAAACATCGATAAATATGCAGAGCAAATGAATTCATTTGGTTCGAATGTGGGAACGTTCCTTATAATATATATCTTAATATGATGGTTTGGCTGCTGCATTGATAAAGTACTGAGCTCGTAACATCTCGTAACCTACAACCATTACAGTACATCTACTTAAAAATGTGGAATTCAACACCATCCTTACAGCCCTGCATACTCAATATCAGTAAAACCCGGCCGGCTTCATGTATCTCCGTTTTTGTTTGCAAACCGAAGGCGCACGCGTACGTAGCGATCAAACATCATCCAACTCATTAGACCAATAGGCACTTTCAGAACAACCCAAGCAGTGCAAGCTTTGTCTTTGTGCAAAGGCCTTTGTTTGGAACACTGGTCCATGTTCAGATTCATCACAATTGAGGTTCCCACGACGCAGCCGCAATCTCCATTGCTTGGTAGGCAGCGTCGTTTTGGTGAACGTAGTTGCAGTCATTGCGGGGTGAACGATGTGGAATGTGCTGTGTGCTTTTCTGAGTTTAGAGTTAAACACATTGAGCCACCCTCAAAATCATAGCGTTAAGGTTTTGTATAGATTTGATCATTTTTGGTGAGATCTTGCCGAATCTGGCACATTCCTTGGAAAACAAGGCCGGAAAACCAAAAACGAAGCCTCTTGGTGGGATGTTTGCATGTGTATCCTCTTGGAGTGCATGAAATGTGGTGTCTCAAAACGAGGCCAAAACGAAGCCCCAAACGAAGCCAACATCCACGAAAAAGTGTCGTTTGTAGACCCTGCCCAAAATATCCCAAATGCTGTACTGGTAGTTTGTTTGTTTGTTTGATTTTTTTGAAGTTCCTTTGCTGCACTTCACATGGTAAAGGTCTAGTGGTAAACAAACAGAGCATAGTAGCCTAACTGGTGCAATTCCTTGGAAAACGAAGCCGGACAACCAAACACGAAGCCTCAGTAGAAACGATTAACATGTTCAACTCTAATTTTGCCAGTCACTCACATCCATAGACATCCACCCCTCAGACAATCATGAAAGTGCAAGAAAAGGCCTTATAATTAGAAGGCATCCCTGGCATCCCTCCAGGAGTTTCCTTTGCTTCCATGAGTTGGCTCAGCCACGGGGAGGGTCCTTTTTCTCTCTCCAAATCACCAAACCCATCACCTCTCCAGTTGCATGGTGACACCTCGAGTGCCGATGAGTCTGGGAAGCTCAGATGAGCGAAGGACCTCCCGAAGAGTTGTTTGAAAGAATTCGGATCTCAAAGAATTTGCCAAACTTTTTTTCGGACCCAAAGATTTGTTGGAAATACGACCTTTGATCCAGCTGAGCAAAGTGCTTTGTTGGATAAGGTGGCCAGCTGTCCGCCGTGCCCGGCCACGCGCCTGACCATGCGCCCGGCCGTGCCCTCGCCCCGGTCCCAGCGGTAGCCTCAGGAAAGCGGATCGGAGAGAACGATGCTTTGTTCATCCTGTCCGACATCAAAACACTGGACTTCTCCCATCAAATGGCCAGCAGGACCCCCCCCACATCCCCCCACCCATTTGGGGCAGTGCGGGGATTCTTTGTTCGATGGTTTCGCTTGAAACGGCCCACCGAGGTCCCTGTTCCAGCCAGGCGGCGTTTTCGGAATGGCATGTCGCAACCAAGAGCAGGGTCCAGGGTACGTCACGAAGTGTTCAGATACTTCAAGCAGCTACTGGAGAACTTCAATTCCGAATTCTGCTCTTGAACATGAGTTGGCTTGGGAAGGCCCGATGTCAACGTCAAACCTCATACAGAGGACTGGAGCCTATGCCATACAACTCTTGGAAAAGGGAGAGGGGGGAGGTAGAGGCAGAATATATATGTCTAGAAAGCCCTTGATGCGAGGACCGCAACGATGCCCGCTTTTGGCAAATGCAGGCTGGATTTGCGGCAATGTAACAAAGTACAGCAAAGGACTGGGACCTTAGGCATATATAGCTTGGTTTTGGTTGTGAGGATACGCACTTGCCTGACCAATGACACACTGGTACTGTAGCGCTTCCAAGACGGCACATGTTCTCAATTACTGGGTTTTGTAGTGCCATGACAACATCCCATGCACGTGCTGCAGTCTCGCGATATTCCTCAACTGTACTTGATTGTTGAATTTTGACCCAGTGAAAACCCGTTTGTTCACGTTCACGGGTCCAACTTGGGTTCGCTGGATTTCCACCGTTGGCGCCCACGTGCTTTGCGCGTGTGGAGAACCCTCGCTGCCAGTTGGATACCAGCTTCTCAGTGGCTTCAACGGTGACACAAACTCCCTTGTCTCCATCACCCGTGAAGGCGGTGATCTCGTCCGACCCGAGAACCGAGTAGGCGTCTCATTTAGCATGAACGGTCGCAACGACCAAGCGACGTCTCATAGAGGTCGCGGTGTTGAAAATGAGTAAAGCGTACAGTCGGAGTCGTGGAATGGCTGAGTATTTTTGCAGGTGTTGTTCAATTTGGCTCTCCTGAGACAGATTTAGATGAATATGAGCCGAACAACCAGGACCAAGTCTGGATTTGGCATGAGTTGGAGTGGTAACGAGGTATGTACAGTTGAGGCTGCCATCACCATTCAAAAGACCACGACCAGGGCTTTTTCGTTCGCCCAAATCGATCGCTGCTCAGGTCGACTCCAGCTACGCTCCCGCGCCCAGGACGGGCCTTTTTCGGTGCCGCAAGGATCCGAAATGGAGCTCGTTGATGTGTCGGGTTTGAGTGGTCGACTCCTGGTAGGCTGGCTCCCTCTGTCTCCATCTCAGTTTCTGTTTGTTTTTGAGTTCTCCACGCCAAAAAAAAGAACTGACACGAATTTGACAGAAGGTCAATTTCCATCACAAGTCTGGAGGGTGTAATGTGCTTGAGGTTGTGGTTTTCAAATGAGTCTAGCGGTCTAGAGATGGAATTCGATGCTGTCGAGGTCACTTCCGGGTATGAGTCAATGCCTTCTAAGCCGTTTGCTCCAGAGATAGTACCTCCAACGTCTTTGAGTTGGAGACCAAGCTATTTGGGCTACGCAGGGCGTCGACATTTGCTGTTTGGTGCTTGTTTGGGCTTCCGGGTGACACTCTTTTGAGGCTCTTTTCGCCTCCAGTTTGCTTGCCCATTGCAACATTTCATTGCTTTGCCAACCAAGGAAGCAGCTTCCAGAATGCGGTGTCAAGGCCAGTTGGAGACGGTTGGAGATGTGTGGCCCGTTGATGTTGGGACCAAACGAAGCACAGCTCCGACTGCAGGAGCCCTCCCAGCGACACCACAGCGGAGCGCCGAGACGAACACCGGTCGACCGGCCGCGATGCGCGAGACGAGCGGCTTCGAAGCCGAGGCGAAGACGGAACTGCTGAAGCCGAAGCTCTCGAGGCCGAACTGGAATTAGTAGCGTCCGATCGTTCCTAGTAGCGATGCCAGGAGCCCCTAATAGCTTCTTGATGCTTCTTGTTCCCCAAAATACCAAAAACATCCAAAAAGCGTGAGCTGAGAGAAGGGAAGCGCCACTGGATGTATTTGGAAGCGACGTATAGAAAATGTTTGTTAGAACTTGCAAATAGGTTGTGCTGTCTCGCGCGCTTGGTCCACAGCCACCGAATTGTCACCCACCCCTCCCCGCCATGCCTGGTCCGGCGACCGGGACGGCAGAAAAACACCAGCGCAGTTTCAAAGCGCTCAACGGATGCCGAACATCTGCAGATGTCTGCAGCATTTCTTCACGTGCCGCAAGATGTGCCAACTGATCCAACTGAAGCATCACGAAGCCACTAGTCATCTCAAAATAGGGGGCGTCAAAAGGAGCCCCATGTATATAGTAGCTTGACCCTCCAGGTAAGTCAACCAAGGTTTTTGACCCTGCAGCCATTTGCAGCCATATTAACTATTATATAACCTAGAAGATCCTTTCGGCAGAAATTATTGCCTTTTTGCCGCGGAAATGTTTTTGTTGCCGCAAACTTTCCCTTTCTGGAATCTATATAGGGAGAGACTATACATATATATTCTATATATAGAGCAGTTGAATATTTTTGGTGGTTTGCATTTCTGCCTGGAACGGTCACCTCAATGATACAAAAAATGGCGGCGCTTAAGTTTCCACCTCCACCTGCAAATCTGGCTATCATGTCATTGTTTTTGAAGGCTTCTTGTGCGGAATGAGCACACAAGCAGTAAAACCAACCCAAAGTTGAAAACACCTGGCGCGAAAATGCCTGGGAAAAAGGTGGAAATACCCGGGAAAGAGGCGAAATATCTGGGAAAACGGCGGAAATTTCCTAGCAGAAGGCGGGATTCAAGAACAGTGCCCTTGAAGGGCTTGAACATATGTCGCAGCCAATTTGCGAATGTCATGAATTCAGAAGTAGGATGTCAGATCTTGAGATGTGAAGCTATGGCCTTGCAGAACGATATGTGGTCTGCAATCATGGAAGAGACAACCTGGTCGGTGTTAGGCAGTGGTGATGGTTTTTGAATAGCTATGTCGGATTTTACTCGAGGCAAAAATTCCCCGCTGGCCGCGGAAATTCCTACCTGGCGCGGATTTACCTGAATCCGCGAATCCTCCTGGGCAAATCAGACTGAGGCAGACATTTTTGCCCCAGGTGCTTTTAGGTATATATATAATTGATATTTTTAATTTTTATTTTTATTGTTACTGATACTGCACCTGAAACTTACTATGGCGCTGGCAAATGTTAGCGTGCTTTGCTTTTGTCATGGCTTGGCTACGCGTCGGCGCGTCGTTTCAAACGACACATCATGGGGCCTGTGTTATGTGACTGGCGCGCGTGCACGAGGCTCGCTGATGTGGCCGGTGCCTCAACGTGCAACCTGACCGTCGCTCAGCGGATTCTTCGTGTCAAAAGGTGTTTCTTCACCGCGCAAGGTCGTGGATCCTTATGAAGGCGCGGGTTCCCAGCGAAGAATGGCGGATGTTTTTCTTGCGGATCCTTGTGTGATGCACGAACAAACAATAACAAACACATAAACGAAGCGTTTGAATAGTCGAATCATACGGATCCGTATCATTCGATAATATATAAATAATCAAAACAATATGACATGAACAAAACATAATAGATCATAATAGTTGAAATATCCACATTCGCTCTCTGTGGTCAGCCAGCGCTTCGTGGCCAGACGCCCCGAGGGTCGTCCGGGTTGAAACGCATGGCGCCCCGAGGCCTTCGCTTGACCCCCATCAACGATCAGCCCTTCCAGGCCGACGCAGAGGGCGGAGACAGGCGGAGACGGCCACTTGTGGCAGGCGGAGACGGCCCCCAGAATGGAGGGTTTAGCTTCACAAGGATGGGGGACGATTCGAGGGGACCGGGTCCGCAAAACCCTCAGGATGGGGATGATGAATGCATATGAATCCTCTTAGCATTCTCAGGGTCCAAAAAGCGAGGAACCGGCGGATGAGACCAGTGAAGCCAGGTCCCCTGTGCTTCCCAGGCCATTGCGTCCATCGCACGGCAAGCACAACAGAGCCTGGTGGATCGGTTCTTGTCGAGGCGGACGTCGCGGGCTCGGTCCGGTGGCGAGGGCTCGGTCCGAAACAAGGCGGTGTCGTACGCATCTGATCCGAGTAGCTCCATTCGTAGCGTCCGATCGCTCCGTTCGTAGAAAGGCCAGGAGCCCCTAGTAACGTCCTTTCTCCTGGTAGCGATGCCCTTTGCTCCTAGTAGCGTCCTGGCAGAAGCACTGAGTTCAGTATTTGAAAGATATGGAGGTACGCATCTTATCGCATCATCTTGACATCCCCAAAACTGACCTGCCAGGTGAATGCTGCTCTGACGGATTCATCATCAGGTCATCAGGAACCAAAAGGCTTGTCACCAATCAATTGGTGTAGCCTGTGCCAAGCGTAGGTTTCCATTGCTGCAACGGTCTGTTAAAATGAGGTCTTCGAGGGGATGATAAACAATTGTTTGTTCTACATTCAAATGCAACATCTTGCAGAGCTCAATGGTTTAATGTAGCTGGAGCAATGTCAGAGTCATTTGTACGAAAAAGGACACAGTGGCCCTGATCAAACAGGGGCCCCACCGCTGATAGTTTGATTACGATAGAGGTCGCTTCAACCTGCAAAACAATTAGAGTTTGCATGCGTAAACACAGGAATCAAACAGAAATAGAAACTGACTTTAATTCTTGTCAGCACAGTGATTCCGTCATCGATTTGTCCAAGTTGAAGTGACCTCCCTGGTTGCTGCCGCCTTATGTTGTGATTTGACTTTGTGATCTTTGTGGATTGTCGGAGATTGAACCTATGAATATCACCATACGAATGAGTTTTCCAGCAAGAAAAAATTACCCAAGCAGCGAGAAGATCCTCGGGGGCAGCCGGGGCATAGGAAGGGGAATGGCCAATGTCTTCGCGAGACTCTGAATTTGGAGTCTCACCACGTGTCCCTTCAACACCGGCGATTTGCAAAGGAGGAAAAGGCTGTTTTCCCAAAGCTTGAGCATCACCAGTCAGCAAAAACCAAAAAGGATGACACAATTGAGGATCTGGATCCTCACCCAAAATGGTCTCCTCAAAGTGGTGATTTGTCGATGATGGATCTTTTCGAGCATGATTTGGTCCATGCGCTGAAGGTCAGCCAGGCTTTCGCAGTCGGATTTGAGCCCTGCTGTGCCAGGTAGCGGCACATGCCCAGCATGCTGAAACACTAGCAAATGAGGCGGAGCGACGCGTTCAAGAGGCAGGGGCATACAGCAACAATGCTACTGGTATACATCAACATACCCAACACATCCCAATACTTTGTTTTTGTATGTGTTTCTTTATGTTAATACACCGAAAAGCTTTTTCGGCAGAAAGGGTACTGCTTTAGCAAGCCCGAATAGGTCAAACGAATCAGCTGCGCTTTTCCGCAGTTGGAAGTCTGCTTAGAAGATCTTAAAAGCAGAGTTGCTCTTTAGAAAATTGAAGAGAAGAAACGCTTAAAACAAAAGGAAATTGATTGTTGTGTGTGTTCTTCTTCCCAGAACCTGGTGTCCTTGTCAATGTTCCTTCATTGGAACCGTCTCCCATCGTTGGCCGGTGCCGACCTTGCGCGCCGAGGTCGTCGACCTGGGAAGCTCCTGTGTGGAGCGCGTGCGGCGCGACGGCGCGAACCGGTGTCAGGCAGCTGAGGAGTGGTGAAATCTATGTCCGAAAAACATGAGTCAAAGGAGTAACAGAAAAGAACAGACATTGAGCTAGATCACCTGAACATCGGCAGAGCAAAAGCGAGTGTGCTAAGCCCATAAAGGCAGGGATAGGCTAGGGATGTTGTTTTAATGAAAGATGCGAAAGCAGCATGATGCAACGACAGGTTGAGGAAGAACCAAGCCGCTGGTCTCCTTTCATCCGATTTGGAATAGCCTGGCCTGAAATCATGTTTCCACCACATTTTCCACCTGCAAAGCTGCAGGACTTTGCCCGAGCAGAGGGACAGCGACTTGCAGCGACGAAGCGAATCTTGGCGTTGCCGGAGGGCCAAGACGTCACCATGAAGAGGGCCAAGTCGTTCGTGGCGCTTGAGTCGTTGACTGTCGTTCAAGAAAACACGTGTTTGTCGACAGACCACATTCGAATTTAAGAAAAGGAAACACTTGGGTTACTTGGGTTCGCGTGAGAAATCAATGCCTTGCAAGTGCAGGCCAGGCCTGTCTTCGCAGTGCCCCAAACATGGGGAGTACTGAGTGCAGAGTCAGCTCACTTGGGACCGTGCCAAACGTGTAAAAGATTGATAGACTGACCGCAAATCCTTTGAGCGTTACCCGTCTTTTGAAAGCAAAGACATCACCAAGAGGCCGCTGGCGCACGTTTTTGAATGTTGCATTGTTTTGCAAGGTGTTGTTTCTTATTATTGCATAGTATTGTATTGCTGCTCTGCATATTTCGGGGGGCGATTTTCACCCGCCGGAGCATGACAAAGCATCATGCAAACGAGCAAGTGGAGGATCACTGCGGAATACCCGAAAGTGATTAGTGCTGACACTGGAAAACGAGGAAAAGGGTCAAGTTTCACTGCAGAATGCCACCGCCGAATGAGATGAAGCTGATTCTGTCACTTGCAGATTGGATAATATGACTCCGGATTGTGGTTGGCTTCAAGCTTAGTCAATGTTTCACAAAGCAAGATCAAACCAATTGGCCCATCACCCGACTTTCACGATTTGCAGCCAACAAACGCAGAGCTTTTGGGACGCACAAGACTGGAATCATGAATGTTAACTACATTGCATCACGTTGCATTCAATCGCTGCCAGTGATGGCGAAGCAACGACCTGTATAGAGGAACACTTGCACCACAGAGTGACGTTGTTGAGCACCTCTTGTTGGAGGGCATTTGCTCTCTTGCCAAGACGTCTTCATTTTATTGGGCTGTTTCCGTGTTTCCATGCAAATCCATGACCAGCCCAAAGCACTCAGACCAGCAGGAATATGAAATTCCTTGGTGGTGTCTTTTGGGGTGGGCTTGCCCTCAAAATGCCCATTTGGACCATCCGAATCCGAACACCGCGTTGTCATCAATACCTCGTTGTCAGGATGGAGGAGAGAAGCGAATGGATCTACTCGCACATCTACCCAGATGCCCGGCGGCCAGGCCAGGAGCACGAAACCTTCAACTCGGTCGACATCCGACATCGACACGAGCGAGTTGACAGAGAAGAACAAACCATGGTTTGACAGAGAAACGGCCAAGGGTGGTTTCAATGGTATCTTCCAGTCCCATGTGCGGGCGGGACGCGGGGGCACTGTCTTCCAGTCCAGAAATCTCGGGGAGACGACATTTGCGCTGCCAATGACACAACCTGCGCGACAGGAGTGGTGATCACTGAGCGGCTGGTCTTGCGCGACCGTGGCCTTTGCAGGCCAAACGGCTGTAGTGTGACATGCTGCGAAGCACAGCTGAAAGGCAAAACAAAGGGGCAGTTCTCACTTTACATCACTTTACTATCTTTACTCATGACAAACTTAGTATTTCTTAATCGTACTCGATATGTTTGCAGCCTGTGTTTTTCAGACTCCTCCATGGGGACCTGGTTCTCTTTCTTCACTGATAGATGGAGCCGCTTTCTGGACACCAACGACCTTAAGGGCGTGAAAGCCCAGGGCGAAGTCTGGCGCCGGGAAGCCGTGAAGACGGTGCGCCCGGGAGCCCAGCCCTGGATTCCGAGGAGTTCGTTGATGAATAAAACGGACACTGTCCAAGTATGATGTATGACTCAATGTGACTCTAAGAAAACGCCGGACTGAAAGGACCGACAGCTAGGTGTTTAGCGAAGAAACATGTTAGTTCTAAATTGAATTGAAGGTCGGAAGTTTCGCAAGACTCTAACCGAGGTTTCTCCACGAAGCTGGGGGATCCCAGTCGTGACTTCTCCCTCTTCGGCGAGCGGCAAGCCGTGAAGAACCGGGCATTGTTCGTATGGCTTTGGGAAGTGGCGCCAGTGCTCATGGTGCCTTGGAGATGTTAAAGACCGTGTTTTGTTTATTCGGTGATGCAACATAGTATATTATAGTAATATAATATATTATAAGAACTATCGGACAAAAACATGTTCAAATCTGTGTTGGTGTTTTTTCTTGGGTGGCCACATGCCTTTCTTCAACACTGGCAAATCTTCAAGAACTATCTAGATCTTGCATTTGGACAGTGCCACTTGGACTGAGGCCTGGCTTTCTTTTGCCCTCAACCCGCTTTCCTTGACGCTCTACATGACTTCGGGCCTGCTTGCAGTCATTTGGCATGCCTTTCCATGGGACGGATCCCGTTACGTGATGTCAAAGGTACGCCCGTCCAAGTTTTCGAGTGTAGGTAACGCTCCGCTTGTGTTTCAACGACGCAACAGGGGCACCTTCTCTTGGGGCACCTGACGGCACCTGTGTTTCAGAACTCTTGGATTCGAAGGCAAATGAGACAAAATCCGCTCTTTTTCTGCAAATCAAAACAAATCAATACGAGTTCGACCATTTGGCTCATCCCAAATCCTTGCCAGGCAGCAACAGTTGAACCGCTCATTGGGGCCACTGTGCTCTCTGTGCGGAGTCCTAGCCTTGAAGCTGAAACGCCATTTAAAAGATCAGAGATTGTCAGAGAAAGGAGAGATAACCGGCAAAGATCAACCGTACTATATATATATATATTATGTACACCCTCCCTCAAACAATCATGGAAGCTGAGCAGACTCCCCTTGTAGAGGACAATTCGTCTTCCAGGGGCCTAGGTTCCACTTCCATGATTGTTTCAGGGAGTCTAGGCCACACGAACCATGTTTTGGAACGGCATGGATGGGCCCTTTTCAGATCTTTTCAGAACGTTCCCGCAGAACGACGCGGTCTTGCAGGCATTGACCTTCATGGTCTCGCTCGTGGCATCCTGGTGGCTCAGACTGGGTGGACAACATGTGGCGAAGGCCTCACGGACGCGTCACGGACGGTCCGTTGATCCAAGGGCACGATGTGGGCATGATACACGTGTGAAAACATGGTCTCCAAAGGGTGGATGTGGATGGCGAGTACACAATACACATCATCCAAGACAAATCGGCCGTGTTTTTCTTGGAGATCTCGATTTCGAGATCTCGACCTGTCAGGACGATGTCTACTCTTCTGTCAGGCGCCATCGAACTTCCGCACGGCCCACGCCTGTCCGTGACACCGTTTTTGCAGACGGACGCGCCACGTGGTCGGACCAAACGTGTGGACGAAACAGATCGAACAGATTCTATCACTTGCTTTCGAGGCCCCACGCAGCTGCTATTAGTCGTTGGCATTGGCAGCGGCCTGCGAACGCCATTTTCTTTGGCCTTTTTGCGCTTTGGTGCCTCAAATGCAAATATGCGCAACCAAACATGGCAGGACATAGCGGATCACGGAAAACAGCGGTTACTGTTCTTGCAGCGGAGCTTCGATCATCCAAGCTCAGTCGCAGATGTGCATGTTTACATCCGTACGGATTGGACACACCGTACCCTTTTATCAGGCTTTTCATGTCAAATGCAAACACACAATGGATTATTGTTGTTTATTGCTTTAAACGAATGGCTTTTTCGTGACACGGCCAATGTCGACCTTTTTCATGCGCTTGTTCTCCCCAGTCAAGCTTTGCGTTCATTCTTTTTCACAGATGCCTTTGTCGAGCGAATCAGCGGCGTTCCTGAACATTCTGAACCGTGCAGTTTGGTTGCTGCATCGGTCATTTTGCTTGCTGAATCGCGTAGTGGCTGAAGCGTGGTTGCTGAACCGTACTGTTTGGTTGCTGATGCGTGGTTGCTGAATCGGATGTTGCTGAAGCGTGCTTGCTGATTCGCTCGACAGCAACCACCGCCCCCCCCCCGCGCAACAGACATGGCACATGTCCATGCCATTCCGGTTTTCACTCCCTAGGCATACACATGCAACAACAACAACAACAACGACAACAACGACAACAACAACAACAACAACTACTACTACTACTACTACTACTACTACTACATGTCAGAACTACCGAAAAAGAATCCGAAAAGTTTAATCTCTAAGGGTTCAGCCTTGTCCAACTTGTTTGCTGCAGGTGCATCTTCCTATGCATCGTTTGCCCTGTCTTGGCTGTACAGGGCCGGAGCATGCCTTGCGAGGCATGGAAGTCTTCAAAAGCGTGTGTTTCTCACATCCGCTGCTTGTTTCTCTGTGGGCATGTATCTGCAAAAGAAAAGGGCACTTGAAAACACCTACGCAAGACTTTGGGGGTTGGATTCACATCGAAGCTTGCCGACCTCCATCGTCAGACTTTTTCAGGCCGGTGGCTGTGAAAGCATGCCGGGCGTGGTGGCGCCTTGGTCGCGCTTGGTCGCGCAACAAGTGGGCATAATAGGGTGCCAGAGAACGATGGTGGAAAAGTTTGAGGGGAGCGAGATTTTAAAGCATTTTAATATGTATTAAACACATAGAGTCAGCTTCTTGCCTTTCTGCAACATGTGCACCTGCCAAACACCTCAGGATGGTACTTGCGGCGTGGGCTCGTGCAGTTGCGGAGCTTGGGCAGACATGCATTGCGCACAAGCGGCTTCGCTTAGCCCCTACTGCCTTGTGCCTTGGCCTCGTTGGCAAGCCATCAGGAGAAGTGACAGTGTGTCACGTCTAGAAGGAGCAGGTCCCAACACAAAGTTGTTGATGGTTTCCCAAGCACAGGACTCAGGTGTGCCAGGATGTGATGGGAATGGCTTCTTTTGGGTCTAGAGTCTACAGAGACCGGGTGAACGCGACATGCTGGAAGCTGGTCTCAAGGAAGTGCAGTTGCCTGCTGGGTTAAGTGTTTTCCATGGAAGAAACATCAATATTAGAATATACTATATATAAAATGAATATGGAGGGGCGTTCTTTTTGTGATTTTTTCTTTTTTTTTGAGATGTGTTTTTTGGATTCTGCTTTTGCTTTTCTGCTTCTGCTGCTTTTGTTGCTTTTCTGCTTCTGCTGCTTTTATGCTTTTTGTGTTTTTGTCTTTCTGCTCTTGGCTTTTGTTGCTTTTCTGCCTTGGCAGCTGTTCTCCTTTCACTTTTTGCTTTTCCATCTGTTTGCTTTCTAACCTTTGGATCTGGTGTGCTGGGATCTGGTGTGCTGCTGGGGAAGGCGCTGCGCTCCCCCCCAAACCCCGCCCGCGCCACGAAATCTGCACTTCATCTCCAACACCCGCGCCTGCCACGAAATCAAAATTTTAAAGTGAACTCCCCGGGGCATAAACTTTTAACCAATCATATATGCCTCCTGTGTTGGTTCTCTTTCTCTTTCCTGTTTCTCTGCTAACGTAGGACTTTCTCTGACACCTACACTATGCCAATGTATTTTGCCAGCTACGACAGCTCCCAAATTAGTCTAATCAGCTAGCAAAATATTTATGAAACCTGCTGTATTCCAATGTATTTGGCCAGCTACGACACCTGTGTCTCGGCTAAGGACACGAAATTGCTGTAATTAGCTAATAAGAAACCTGCTCTATTCCAATGCTTTTGACACAAATTCCTGAAAAAGTGAACAAACAAATTAAACGTGCACCCAATGAATATTATGAAGAAATTCACCGTGGACAAGTGTTGAGAACATGTTTCTTCAGAAAACACACCTGTTCATGGCCTCAACGCGCGATGGGGAAGGTTCCCGGTTCGCCGAGGCCGCTGACGCACCACTTTGTTCAGAGGACTCGTCCAAGGCGAGTGGCGCACATGGAGTGCTCCTTCTCACAGCGTGCCTTGGAAGTCGCGTGACACGGAGCTTGAAAACGCTTGAAAGTCGCGACCGTGCACGCGGTGGTGTGGTGTGAAAGCATAGTGTATACATAGGCTGTTAGTATATAGTATATTAAGTATAATGTGTAGATAAACAGGTTCCTACTAATTGATTATAAGATAGTCAGTACTATTCCATGAACGGGTTCACAGGTCAGACTTTGAGGCTCTTGCAGTGAACATAGCCCGGGAGTTCAGGCCGAGGGGGTGCCGAAGAGTCAAACAGGGCAGAGTTGAGTCAAACATGATTCATCTTGGCGGATTCTGAAAGATATATGGCTGGAAACGCCTTGTTGCGGACTGAGGAGTGGAAGTGCAGCAAGCTTGTTGCTTTTGTTTCTGAGCTGGTGCGTGAACCACTTGGCCATCATCCTGGCTTGGAAGAAGGTGCGGCCGAAAGACAAGAAAGCCAGAGAATTCGGGACCAGACCAAATCGCCAAATCCAATGTGTGGCGCCAGGGTGAGACGGATCCCTCTCCAGCTTTAAAGGCAGACCATGTGCCGTACCACAAGCCTCTCGCCACAGTTTACCGAGTCATACCGTAACTGACGATCCGAGCCAGAAACCTCACTAAGGATCACCGTCACCTTTGAGCCACCTCATCGTGGCTCGTTGGTGTTCACAGTTGGTGCGGACGAGGTGCAGCTTTGTTATTTCAGTGCTGAGTCGAGGCTTTTGCAAGCTAGAATGGTGCCGCCATTGCGTTATTCGGAGTGCCGCAATGCAGTTGGGCTGTCCAGTCTTTGCGACAGCAAACACATTCAGGATGTCGCAGAGCTTACGAGGCTCCTTCTGCCAGAAGCTCCTGCTAGGCGTGGAAACTTAAGGCGATACAGGATACATATGTCATGATCATGTATATATTTATGTTATATTAATTATATTACTATATTGTATTAAGCACAGTGGGGCTCCAAGTACCTCCTCAGAAGGTACTTGAACCCTCCAAACCCTTTCCAAACACCTGCCAAGAAGGTACTTGGAGCCCTAGGGTTTTGGGAGAAGGGAGACACATCCAGATGCGAGTCTTGCACCAGAATTCAGTCTTGCACATCCAGGGTCCTAGAGGAGTTCGCAAAAAACAAACAAAGCAAGAGGAAGGGGTCTAAAACTGGAGAACTGTAAAGAGAAAGTTTCTCATTTCGTGCCAGCACCTGGTCTTTGCCCTATGGCAACACGGACCTGGAGCCTCTTTGGCGTGGTGATGAGGCCCACGTGTTGCGAACAAACGCCCCTGCCACCGGTTCGCGTGTCCTTTTCAGTTCGTTTTTTCGCAAAACGTTTTTTTCTCGGCCACAGGACCCACAAGAAGCGCTACTGCTCAACCCCTCCACGCAAGAAGCACCCGAAGATGTGCAATGGGACTGAGGGGAGCAAATGACTGGCTCCATTCGGTTAGAGAATGAACATAACAGCGAACTTCCATGAATGCTCAGGTCATTCATGTCATTCCAGTTTTCTTTTGAATAGCTATAAGAGCCAGATACACCATTTCTTCCTGTCGTTTCACCATGTTTCACTGTTTCACCTTGCAGGTTTGTTCATTTGCGTGAAACAGTTTGCTCAACCTTTTTCTGCTGGAGTTGCAACATAGATGTCCATTCACTTCACCAATTCCGCTCTGGAGAAGATCAGGGTGCCCAGATCGATGCACTCAAACTCTTTGCCCCAATGCTAGCCCTGATCACGGAGTTCCAAGGCTGCGATGCATCCGACAATGTGGCAACCGCTCTTGAGACCTTTAAGATAATTTATCGCAGTCCTCAAAGCTGCGTGCTGCTCAAGCAGAAAGCGTAGCCCCCCTTTTGCTGACCCCTCCTGTGAGACTACAGTAGCCCTTTACACAGGTGGCTTGTTGCATACGCAAGCAAGAACAAGGTCGAAGGGGCCATGCCGGAAACCAAGAGGTCTGCCTGCAAGGCCAGAGGCCACCAGGCCGGCCTTGGGCGCAAGAGTTGCCACGGCCATTCTTGCGAATTCATTCCACGGTTTCGCACGCGGTCAGGGAGTCTTACGCCACGGGTTCCGTATACGACTTCCGTAACTTTTAGTTTTTGGAATGGGATGAGAAAGCAAGTACTGTATATCAAAATCTATAATATGAGCAATTGGCCGTCCATATCAGCACACATATTTGAAAATAAGAGCCGTACCTTGACTTACTTACACACGGCAACTTATACAACATATAAATGCGCGATGCGCAATCATTTAATAACACAATTTAGATTTTACGAAATACATAAAATATTAATAGGTAAGAATGATTACGTCTATTCGCCGAGATAAATAATTATAATGATAGATATTAATGCGAGAATTAAATATAATTTTAAAAATAAATGAATAAATTGATTAATATTAATCTAAACTAAATTGAAATTATTATTATATTAATATATATAAAATATGGGTTTAATGAAAATTTTTGGATGACTTTGGTCGAATATATATTTTTGCTAAAGATATATATTTATAATTAATAGATAAGATATATATTGATGGACGATGATAATTATTTATATATTAGAAAACAAATTAAAAATAAATAGGAATTAGGATTAAATATTTTAATATATATTAATTAAATATATACGTCGGATTTATTAATATTTAGGTAGATTTGTTATTAATAATATTATTTAAGGATTTTTATAGCAAAGGATTAAGGTCGCAAATTGAAGATTAAGGGCCGCAGAATAAAATATTTTTGAAATATTTTTGTGTCGGGGTTGTATTTTTCTGTTTAATGCTAGCGTTTATTATAAAATCGTATTATTTTACCTATAGATTTCGGACGTTATAGAAGACAGGCATTTTGAGGGGTATTATTCGATAATGATAGGAAATCTAGAGATATAATTACGGTAAATTATGTACGAAGGCATAAATGAAAGGTTTTTGAAAACCAAAATAAGATATTATAGAGTCGTCGAATCTTTTATTATATATATTATTGGAATTGAGGCAAAAACAATGGATTGGCTTTTAATGGAAATTAATAGGCGGGGCAATCGTTATTTGAACCAATCTATGAATATACGACCTTAGAAATTAGTATTATATGGGTCAATAACATTCTTTGTATACTCAAAAGTTGTTATTCGTATGGACCCTAAATGACAGTGTTGAAGGTTAGGCTCATCGTGCAATTCCACACCTGGGTAAGAATTATATTAATGACGTAGCAATTCGATCCACTATTGGCCAGTCGAACGGCCATAACTGCTTTTATCACTTTCTCAATCGTTGGGAGATAGCATTGGCTAGTGGGGACCGATGAAGATTCGCTAGTCGGACTATCGGACTCTCAGGAGCACTAATTGAGTGAGTGATTCTATTGCCGGACAACTTCAGCAGAAGCTGATACAATTCGGAAAACTCTGGGAATCGAAGATTTAGATCGAGGCGCCACGGGATGGCTACTGCCGCATCCTGGGGCAAGTTTTTTTGATTCATTGGACGCAGAATTGAGAATTTATGAATCTCCGATGATTGTTGTCCAAGATGTGTAATACGCTCCAATAGGGCTCGAATCTCTTCCGAGGCCAACGGTGGTGTTTTGTTGGCTTTTAATATCTGGGCTTGGGTGCCCAAATGAAATAAATTCATTTGTTGTCCTCCGTAAGGATCCCTTGGAACGGAGATTCTATATCAAGGCGTCGTCATCCACCTCCAATTGCAATTTGCCTGCTCGTTATACCAACTCCTGAAAATAATAAAGGAACATCGTGGTCCGAAGCGGCATGGAGACGTCGCCACTTTGTTTGTAAGCATTCCAATTCCGAGCTTTGGCTAGCATGCTCGGCATAATGCTCCCACGACCGCATTGAAGCAAGAATATGGAGCGTTTATCCCGGCTCAATTGTGCCAAGGAATATTCCTGATGGAGGGACAGGCGTATTAGCATCCTCAATAGATTGTCGTTTCTGCCTCCGCTTGATATTGCATGACGGCGAGGATCGATGCATTTATTTATTCCCGGCCATACTTTGGTGCACCATCTGAGGCGGTCAGGCATTGTTGTTTGCCCAGGTTTTGCCACAAGCTTCCAGGAGATCGGCGAAGCTTTGATCGTGTGCGAACATCTTCTTTTCGATCGTAATCAGAACGAATATGCCATAATCTTCGGCCAAGGCATATTCAATGGAATGGAGAACATGGTTCAAATCATCCAATTGATCCAATATGGTGTCAGGCATGTAATGGCGCCATTTCAATGGGAATCTCTTCCATTGAGTGCCAGGCTCATGTAGTAGGGTGCAATTTGCGCAAATATGCAAGGAAATTGAAAATCGAATCCTGCGGCAGGCACGATTATGGGACATCTGGATAATATAATAACCATCCTAGAGATCGATAAAACCAATTCAATTTGGATTCAGGTGTAAATAATTCACATGAAATCATCTGCAAGGGGGGCCCAATCAAGTTACGGGCAAGTTCCGGTGTCCATGTGGGCATTTCAATGGACACAAGCCAAGACGCCAAGGAGGCGTGTTGACCAGAACGGGAGCCGAGGGGACGGGAACACCATAGTGCAAATCTCGTGTCCAATTGCACAAGATCGGGCATGAGGCTCTCTGGAAATAAATACGCAGTCCAAACTCCATCGAAAAGGACGATTTGCAGTGCTTTACAAGCTAAATGACCCGGATATATATTGGTCCGCTGGTCAAAAGGAACACCATCTGATTTGGGGATATCGTGGCTCTTCCTAAGGTGTCCAGCTAGGGCTTTGGGATCGATAATATCATGACACAATGGGCACTGATACATTTTGGCAGGTGCCGGACAGGATCTATCCGGTTGGCAGGACGCATATGTTTAATGATGACCTTGGGTACCTTCAGCTCCAAGGTGGTCTATGGAGGTGTAGAGGCGGCCTCAGCATGGTCCAACGTGGCATGTTGCATGTTTTGGATACTTGTGATAATATATATGCAATATAGATTCAATCAAAAAAATCGTATGGCAAGTGTGATAATTGAACAATTAAGGAGATTTGGTTTTTGGGACAGCGGTGCTTTAATGGGATGTATTATAGATTTGACCCAAGAGAACACTAAATTTGCATCAATACTCCGCACTGGTGATTGCAGACGTCTGAATACTGCTGGGAACAGAGAATGCAAGTGTCCTTTCCGCTACCCAAATTAGCTGGGCCATAGACTGATCACGATATAATGATTCAAATACCAATTGTCCCTGATGTTGTTCACCAGAATGTTTGCGGATCGAACGTGCTGGAACGGCCAGGTAGCAATCGGCACATAGGCACAATGCTTGGCCAATTCAGAAATTAATGGCTTATCTAGACAGATGCCTGGGATCGATTTGTAGCGCAAATGTATCCTCAAGGAGGATCGAGCTGAGATCCAGCAAATTGCAAGCAAATACGGACATTGATATATAAACGAAATCGTTATATATCAAGAAACTCTTTATGATAATATCTACAAATTGCTCGACCATTCAAGGCGTTGCGTAGCGGCTTAAAATCGTCTTCTGACAAGCGTGGGATCTGATGACAAGCACGGATATGACGTTTCCAGGGATCCGCCTGATGAAAGGCTTCATCGCAGTCAAGACACTTCAATTCCGAAGCCTGTGGACAAGGATTATCAGAGGCGGTGGGGGCCAGGATGCTATAATCTGGGGTCAAAACACATATGTTGTCCTGTATGCCAGTCTGCATGGCTTCACGAGTCAGTGTGTTTCAGCGATGACGCAGGGATTCAGAGAGTCGAAGTTGTTGGTGTGCAAGGTAGAGCCAAGGTGGTTGCACGTTCATGCGAGTATAACAAATATTGATATTCTTTTTGATGCTATGGATAGGAAACTTGATCATAATACGATGATATTTGTGGATTATGCCTATGATCTGATGAAAATCCTTCGAAATAATCACCATCTCATGGATTCCATATGATATAATTGGGAGCACACATTGCTAATACAACCGAAAAGGTGTTTTGAAAGGATGATGTGTATCCATGAACCATTTCCTCAAAATGCGGGAACAAATATGTGGAACTGTGACTCGATGCTAGACCGTGGCATTGGCAAATGCAATCGTGGCCCTTCTTTTGGTCTTGATATCCATCGTTTCAAAAATGCCTAAATGGATTTTCCCTCAAGACGCATAATTGTCACGTTCGTCGCCAAATTCACCTGAGAATGATACGCCTTGAGTGTATTCAAATCAAAGGACAAATCATGCATTGTTTCGAAATCTGCAGACAAGAAATGCATGAACAAATGCAAATGAATGTCATCAACATAAATGATGATGGGTGAAAAGGTCCAAATATGATCATACCTAGCAAGAAGATCATGAAGGATCAAATATAAAGTAACGGGGCGTCCTTGGACCTCTATTTGATGCCACATGTGGCAAC